TCGTCTTCCCATTCCTCCTCATCAATGTCCCATGCTGGTGGTAGGTCCCTGGTGGCTGCATCTTCATCCTCCGGTGGCGCAACTCCATGCTCTGCCGCTGCCATACTCTCCACCACCACCTCTTCTTTGTTCACTGCTTGTTGCTCAGCCATGGCAATGGCAGCCTCCAGGCTTAAGGCCAGGGTTGTTGGATCTTGCGCCAGCACTGTGGCCACTTGGAGCAAGAAAGGCCTTGCATTGTCACTGGCCGCCAGCTCCCTGGAAAGATTGTCAATAATCTGTATCACGGGCATCTGCAAGGCATCTGCGAGATGGGTCAAAGTATCTTTGCCACCAGTTGTCATATTCGGGTGCACTCTTTGAGGCAGTGGGGTAACCGCTGCATCTAGGCTTGGACAAGGCAATCCGCCATGACCCACATGGAGCTTGAGCCCAGTCTGCCACAGAGCCCCCTGTTGAAAGAAGCGACCACTCCATTTTTGAATGCGGTGACATGGTAGCAGTTTGTGCCCATTTCGCATACAGAACACGCAGAGGATGACGCTGCCACTGCAGTCCTGACACTTCCAAACAGCTTTGCCTACCCCACACTCGCTGCACCGTCCAGCGGGGCCCCTCTTGCCAGCAAGGACCCGGTCTTGATACAGTTGCCACTTGTTGTCCACCCACTCCCGCATATATGCATTTTGAACCTACGCCCACATGTGAGCACTGACCCTGCTATCATTTTCCTCAGCCACTGTACCTTTCCTGACTTATTCGGGCGTGTATCATAGCTGCCCATGAAATGGCCTGTCTTGGGGTCCACCTCGTAGGCTCCGGGCTGCTCATGAGAGGGGTCATAATGAGGCCCAGATGGTGCCTGAAAAGAATACTGCATGGGCCCTACTCGCTGTGGTACTTTCTGCGGCGATGGGGCCCTCTCCTGTGGAACTTCCACCAGCCTGTCCCTCCTTCCTCGGGATGTTGCTGCTGTCCGGAACTCTTCCAGAGGGGTATCGTTGTGCAGAACAGTTTCCCTTCTAGACATGTTGGTGCTGGAGGTAAATCAAGCTATTGAAGGAATATTGTGTAAGTGCAATGCAAGTGTTTCTCACAGACCAGATTGAGTGCAGGCTGGTCCAGACAGAATTCAGTCCCCGTCTTGTCGACCTGAGCGGTCACCCAGAAGTGTATTGCATATAATTGTAATGCTCGCCAGATACAGCAATGAAATGTGTGATATCCACTGCATCCTACTTGTAAAAAGCCGGGCAGAATGTTGCCTGCCCCACCCCTGCCACTGAGCAGAGATGTTTTTTCCACCTGTACGTGCACCTGGGGACTTGAAGTAGCTGACATCTCGCAATGTGAGGGGTCCTGCCTACCATATGTATGTATCTAGAAATTCTCTCCCCAGCAATGCATCAAGATATCAAGGGGCAAAGAAGACCGGATCCAGCCTCCACAATTCCTGCGTTGGGTCGCCCATGATGCATTCTTCAAGCACTGTGCAGACTCATTTACGACACAACAGACTCACCTTTATATTAGAGTAGTCACAGAACATGCAGAGATGCACAGGTAACATAGTAGCGACAGTGCCGGACATGCACTTCCAAAGTGCAAACTCCGTCTCTTGTCACACAGACACCCAGAATGAATGTATTCCAGTTACCTGTGAAGATACTGAGACATCATACAAGCACAGTCCAAAAGAGATTTTAAACCTAGACCAAAATCGAGAGAAGATGAGCCAAAGGGATGGCGAATGTAGTGTACAGATTATGTTCCAGATTACAGTCACATCGGGTGACTGAAAACCTGCATCCAAAATTTGACTAATTCAACCATATCTGACCTCAAACTTCATATAATTTGCCAAACTCTGTGTTCAAGAGCTCTGCTGGTTGGCAGGTAGAGCTACAGATATAGAGAATAATTTTATTCAAAGTACCTGTGTGACGAGGGATAGATTTTGCACTTTTGGAGCACTTATTGCCCTTCTGGTTGTACTGTCCCACATGATCATCTATGAACATTCTGGAACTATTAAAATATGAGGATGAGTCTACTACCTACTTGCTGAGGCCACCCAGAGCACACAGAATGTACTATTGCCAACAGGACATAAGAGTCACGGAAGACAGATCCAGTCCATGTTCCCCTCCTCATGTCCGGCCCCACACATGCTGTGAACTATTTCATACTGTGGGACTAAGTTCTGGCAATGCATTATAGTCTATCCGACCCCCCTATTCATCCATCCACCCGTGTCAGGCCTGCTAATAAAATATCTGCTGTTTGGGGTGATGGGTTGTATGCTCTCCATTCAGCGCACCAGTTGCCTTAGTGGAGGGCTCTAAAAATCTTCTACATATAAGGTAGCATATTTTGACTGTAACAAGACACGAAACTAAGTTGTTAATGTGCGGGGGAGTGTTGGGAGGAGGGATACACTGGACACCATGGAGCTTCAAGTGTAGCACCTGTGGAGTCCAGAAAGGTGCCTCCCCAGTCCACTACCAAAGTCTAATAAATGTTGGGTGGTTTAATAGAGGCTGAGGCTCATGGCACGTACCCAGGCAAGGAGCGCAGCTTTTGGAGTGCTCCAGTGGCGCATATCCGCATATGGAAATTTGCCTTATATGGACCGGGGAATGTACGGCCTCCTACCGTGCATAGGGTTTGATGACCGCCCACAGTAACCAAGGAGGGCTCCACACGGCTGGAGAGTAGCACACACCTCACACCGTCATGGCAAAAAGGACATCCAAACAGAATAAGAAGCCCCACGCTGTAAGAACCATTTGGACACCAGAGGAGGACAGGATCCTGCGGAAATACCTGCCGCGAAAGAGAGCAAGGAAGAACAAGACAATCTGGCAGCAGGGCTGGTAGCAAATGAGATCAGGCTTTTGGCTCCAGAGAAGTATGGGGAACTTGTATGTGGGCGAGACAAGGCAGCGAAGGGAGCTTGGGAAGCGAGATGCAAGGTGTGCCAGATATCCGGCGGACTTCTGACCTCCACTGACAGCCAGAGGCAAGGCGATTAAGACGTGGTTTGGAAACCATAAGCAGTATAAAACGAAGAATGTCATGAAGATGGGACGCAAGACATCTCTGAGGCAGGTGGTGGGGCACTTCCGTGGGGCGGAGATTGAGGAGGAGCTGGTGAGGCAGCATNNNGCTGGTGAAGCATCCGGACGTCGGAAGAATATGGGGCAGGTGCGATTTGGGGGTTTTCAGCCTGCGTTAACAAAGGTGATGGAAAGCCTTTCGGCGGAGGCGATTGCAGAATACCGCGACATTGGCAAGCAATGGGATAAGCGAGGGCCTCCACATGAAGTTCAAATAAAGTAAGCTCCTTGTCCGATGTTCCTGCCTACATGCTGAGTGGCGGTGTTTTGGGCGGCACCTGATGAAAAACATGCATGAGGTGGCCTCAAAGCAATTGGGCATGGTGTCTATCACGATCACCTCATACCCTAAGAACATGACGCAAAATGGGATGATCTTGTAAGTGGAACATATGTTGGAGGTCATCATCATACTAATAGCTTGAAAGTCATGACTACAACGATGAGCTCTCATCGGAAGGGGTGGTGGTCGAGAACTTTGTGAGGTACAACCATGAGGCGGCGCTGGCAATGGCTGCTGCCGCAGGCGAGTTCTTCAAGTACGTGCGTCAGGCGAGAGAAGGAACGCTATCACCCAAGAGTGCTCATGGCAAAGGTGGCTTTCTCTGGATGGAACGGGGTGTTGGTGGCATCCCGATATTGCCACCGCCAATTAGAGGGAATGCTGGCGTCAAACTCAAAATCACCCAGCGGCAGATTTTGCGACAATTTTTCCAAGATCATTACCGATTAGCAAGTGGGAATCCCAGTGCTCATCCCCTCTGGGAGCAGATGAGAATCCATGGCGACAAATTCTACGCGGCGGCGATGGTGCCAGCTGACTACTTGCATAGCCCTGGCGTCCGCCATGATTTCCTGTTCAGCAACCCCACTCGAATGCCAGGAGCGCTAGTTGGTGAACTCATTGACCATCTCAGAGGCAGACAAGCAGCAGAGGGAGAGCTGAGTTTTATGTTCACGCATACACTGTCAGAAGGCAAGTTTGTTTTGGCAACTTATCTGGAAGGGTGTAGGGAGGCATGTCAGAAGGCTCAGGAATTTGGCAGTTATTCCTATCAGCGGGAGGATGTTGTGGCCGGCGATATGGATATGGAGGTTGATGGACCGGAAGAGGAGGTGCATGTGGACGGCGTGCCTCCACCTCAGCCTGCTGCTGATACTTCAGGTCCATCTCCTGAGCCAATCACACCGCATCAGGAAGGCAATGGATTGCGAGGCCAGAGCAAGGATGCAGCTGGGACTGGTGCCCGAGCGGCGGCACCTCGGGTGGCGACCTCTGGAGCACCTCAGCAGCCACAGACCCTTGATCCCCAGCTTGCTGAAGTCTCACCAGCGCCGTCAATCATTTCCCCCACACACTCCTGCCAACCAGGCTCCAGCTCCATCACACAGCCACTGTACTCTCATCACCCTCAACATCAGACGCAAGGCTTTGTTTTTGGTCTGCCAGGTGGCGCAGCATTTGGGTCAGACACTAAATGCGCCTACCCATACAACATTCCTGGCCATGCCAACTACGATCCAGCCCCAGGCTATGGACCACACAATGGATTTCTGCCTCCAGCACAGCCACCTGTTAAGTGGGGGCCTTCCTCCACACCAGTGCCTGAGGTATACCCAGCACCAGGGGCGGCGGTGCTGCTTAATGGCATGTCTGCCATGAGTCAGCAAGGGTCTCCACTGTCCGCCCAAATTAACGCAATGGCACCGTCTGCTATTGCACAAACCATTGGCACAGTCCTGCAGCCCCAATCTATTCTGCACAACACAGCAGGAGGGGAGATGCTCCCGGCCTGCATATTCCTGCCACCTTCACCGCTGCTGCCACCGCCATCCTTCATCATCGACTTTGAGTCTCAGTTAGGCAAGCACAGGCGGATTTCAACTCCAGGGATTTCCATAAGGTTAAATAGCCGTGCGGGAAATCCGCAGGTTCGTCCAACCCCTGTGATGGGGGGGAGTGCAGCAGGACACCATGTTATTCCTGATACAGACAGTTTCTTCCTGCATTGGCGCTCGGCAATGCTGCAATCACAGGCGGCATTGTCCGATGCCCCATTGCCAGTCATCAGGACCCCTCGGATAAAAAACACGACTACTCCTGCAGTCAGTACTCACATCACCCGTTCTGCCGCCGCTTCGTCCATGAACCTTTGCACCACCAGAGTTGCTCAAAAAGGAAAGAAGAAAAGGTAACTGGCGCCTTTGTTGGATATTCCAGTCACAACGTAATGTATTATGTAGCTATTGTACATGTTTTTTGTAGCTACATATACAGAGGCCAAGGCAAAACAAGTACAACAAATTGTTTGATGAAGATATATGCAGTCCGCAGTTCGAAAGTGAAATCGTACAAGACGAGACCCACCTGGCGATCACCTCCCCGCCGTCGTTGTTCTGGCTGGGGCAGCGCCTGGGCACTGTCGAAGGAACCGCCCGGGGGCATCTGTCTGCTGACAAACGAGAAACGATGGGGACATAATACATACAGACGGGGCAGGGAGAGCTGTCAAGGGGACAATGCAGGGTGGCAGATAGAAGGCGATGGCGGCATGGATGCTTGAGGGTGGCGACGATGATTGATGGCAGCGACGATGCTCGATGTCGTTGATGAGGGCAGATGCCAGCGACGGAGACTATTTGCCTGACCTTGTCTTTCTCTCCTCTTTCCCTATCTTCTGCTTCTTCCTAGCGACCTGCACAACCTTGAGATTTGCCCCCACCACCTCGTCGAAGCATCTGTCCATTTCTGATCTCGCTCGAATCACCGGTTCTGTTTCCTCAGATAGGGCCCTCTTCAGCCCACTCGGCCCAGCCTTCCACCTGTCATTTTCGTCTTGGATGCGGGCCTTGGCTAAATCAACGAGCTCGTGTGGCCAGATGGTGAGCTCAATGGCTTTGCCATTGTCTGTTTCGTCCAACTGCCTAACAAAATAGATTTTTTCAAATTTGATGGCGGGCAGATCCTGGCCTTCGGTTGTCGGATAGACCTGATTAAATGAATTTGGTAAACGATGAAAACACAAGAGGAGATTTTAAAAAATACCTGGAGATTGATCCGAGGAAGAACCAATATTTGCACCAATTTCCCCAGTCTCTCTGGATCATCTTCAAAACCAAAAAAAAATATTCCGCGATTCAGCGCCGCGCTCGTTGAGCGGATTCCCCTCCTCGTCCACAACACGTCCCGTGACAGATTTCATGTGTTGGAGCTCCTCCTCATTGGGCGCCTCGTATGGGGTCCACTTTCCAATCCAGTGAGTGACCCTTAAGGAGCGAAGGACCCTCTCACCGGGTTTACTGTCAACCTCGAGGTTGATAACGAGTGCGTTCGTTGTTCTGAGGAATGTCCCAATTAGCCATCGGTTAGCCTTAAGCTTTGCAGCGGCGAATCTCTGGGCGACGGAGACCTCCCAGACAGACACTGGGTGTCCCCCTTGCTTCCTGGCAGCGACCCTCCCGTGCTGTGGGGTGGAAGACGAAAAGAAACAGGCGTCCGCAGACAGCTGTTGGTCTCCAACCACCGGGACCAAAGGGCAACCTCCAGAAAGAGCGGTGTCCGCAGCGAGCTCGTGGCGGTTCATAGAAAGTTGGAGGAGACCTGCAGCGATCTCATGTGTAAGTGAGGGCATCGTAATGACGATATGATCGTTGAAGTAGTTAAGACTGGCAAGATATTCAGCATATTATATGTGATTTTCCAGAAGCTGTAGATGGCATACCGAAGGCTAGAATAATTCGACCTGATTTCTCCACCATGCAAGGCCTTTTCGATAGCCTGAAACTCCTCTGGAGAGGCAGGCTGCCTAAATTCTTCGCTGGGGAGCGCATGTGCTAGAAACTGGATAATGTTGGCGAGAGTAGCTGATTGCTGTTGGACCTCTCCGGTGTCGCCAGCTGGCAACTCTGTGCTGATGATGGAGGACTCTTTGGGGCTTGCAATCCCACTGGGGCTGGACATCGCAACAGCTGTTCGAACAGGGGTGGGGAGGTGGGGCTCCTCCTGGGTGTGAACCGACTGGACGGACTGAGAAGAGGACTCTAAGCCTGGCTTTCTTGTTGAAGGATTAAGAGAAGGGGTAGGTGAAGAGTGCCAGCTGGGCAGAAGGGGTAAAGGATCTTGAGAGCCCCCTCGAGCTTGCCCGTACAAGGCACGCGCTGCGTATGATGAGGGAGTGTCAAGAGATGAGGGATAGTTGACAGGAGAGTGCATGAGGGGGACCTCATGGGCGTTGGAAGCAAGAGGTAAAGTGATTATTAATAGATATGGAATGTTGTAGAACTTTGCAGAAATGGCACTGATGTCCGCCGTTTTTCCGTCCTTGTCTGCGTTATTGAGATATAGATTAGATGTATTTATACTGTTGTGGTGGTAGGGCAGGTGGCGTGTCCCCCATGGGGTAATGACCTAATTGTACATCACCAGGTTTGGGCCTAGCCGGCACCTTGTCCAGGCCCAGTTGTGGGGTGTGTGCCTGCCAGAGCAACCGATGCCTCGGACTCTTGCCACCCAATGTTACTTTTGCGGTTTGTTCCAGAGCAAGCCGTCGCGACATCAAGGTGTGCGCCGGTGCGGCGGTGTCTGTGGTGAACATGATGCCGCCGTCATTGCCACAATGTTAATCGGAGCACTTAACGTGTTTAAGATGCCATCGCCAGTCGATTTGTCCACACCATCGAGGTAGCTAGCGAACAGATTGCGCCAGGTCACTCAGCTGGCTGCGGCTTATGTTAGGCGCCGGTGGGTAGCGGATGTGATCCAATGGACATCTCTGTCACGGAATTTCGGCTAAAAACTGGCTTGAAGGGTCAGAGCAATATTATGCACCAGGCTTGCTCAACGCATGTCCCCCGACAATGGTAGCACTTGGGTTCGAGTACTGTGTGTTCTACGATGGACCGACACCGTAGTTAGGCTCCGGATGCCTGTTCAGAGAGACCCAATGGTGGAATTGATCTCAACACCACCATCGTAGCAGTCATAAGTCACTTGCCCCTAACTTGGGTGTGTGCATACCATCATACTCCGAGGTGCAAGCTCTGTGAGCTGAGAATGGGCATCAACCTTCACAATGGCGACAGCAGAAACACTAAGCACCGGCAAGTGCATCACTGTGCTTCTGGGTTTCCATTGGCACCGGCTTCACGGCGGAGGGCGGACAGCCATGCCGTGCCTCCGCATCGCAGGTGTCCGCCTCCCTCATGCTCAGCATCTTCCTTGAGTCAGGTGATTTTACGTTGCTGATTATTCATCAGTTGTTTCATCTGCTTTAATCTGTCCTCCACTATGGATCCATCAGGGAAGTACGACTGGCGGCGCACAGAGCAACTTTCTATCCTCAAGGCGAACTACCTTAGCGCAAGGCTGCGAACTGCCATTGCTACTTTGGCGAAAACCCATTGCGACGATCATGACGTGCCTGATGTGTCCGACTTCATTGAAACGGAACTTGTGCGTTGTGTCAGATTGCATCTAGACTGTGGCTGCTCTGACCAATTTAGGAAATGAATTTGCTGCATTTTGGGTGGGTGGCGCTCATGGGTTTCAATGTGCGCCAGCCAGCATTTCTGCAGGACCTGTTAGTCTCCTTCTGGCCACCCAACTGGCCAGCATCTGAAAAATATATGGCCATCGATCGTGCAATAGCCAACCTGTATGTGGATTTTGATCCCCTCATCGACAAGGGGCTTGTCGATGAGGTAGACCAAGCTGGGACCTACCATTGGTGGACTGGAGAGGGCTCAGCACCCACTCACACCACCATTGACATATACTTCCAGGAATGGGTGATGGATGTAAGTGAATTTCTGTGATGCCACCTGGATTATTTATGACAAGGCACAGTACATCGACACTGGGCGCTACCCCCCCACAGGTTTCGTTTCCAACCCCACCGACCTCCCCATGCTGCAGCATCCGGCGCTTCCTTTGGAGGCGCTGTGTCTGCGTTTGCTGGCTCAGGCAACCAGCAGTGGCCAACGCATCGCCACCCGCCCTCTGGTCCTTCCAGAGGCTAGTCGCACAGCAGCTCCCCCAATTGGACCTCATGACGCTTTGTCCGAGGGCGCCGTCGCTCTCGTACAAAGTCGAAGAACCTCCTGTACTTGTACCCACACCTGCGGCCGGTCAGATCCCCTCCCTCCTCTTCACGCGTCCACCCCAATGCTCCCTGCCAGCGACATTCAGGAGCTGCTGACAGAGGCAGAAGAACTCTCTAGCTCCACCTCTGCCGCCATTGCGAGGCAGGCTGACACCCTCAGCTTCCTTTCCTGGCAACACGCAGCGTGGACAGCACTTCGTAACCAGTATCAGGCATCAGGGGGGACAATTGTTGACCCAGAAGTTGGCCAGCACCCCTTCTCTCCTCCGGCCAATCGGCACCTCGATCCTTCCCCTTCTCCACCACCTCGTGCCCCTCCTGGCCTCATTTGCAGAGCGCCCAGTCTCGAATTCATTGAATCAAGTGGCGGCAACAGAGGTGGCGCTGGAACCCGTGTTAGCGCCGGTCGGGCCACCAAGGAAAGCCCTAGCTCAAGCCCTGCTAAGTTCCCTCCTCGGTCCGGGTCCAAATCACCCTCAGTTGTCGAATTTGTCAATGCTGGTGCCAATAACTCCAACGCAAGTGAGTTCATGGACAATGTCACCAGAGTTCTCTCACCCCCGGATTCCTCCTCTGACTCACAGGACGACGAGGAAGACTCGGAGTCGGAAGACGACGACCTGCTGGTCGATAGCACCTTCCAGGCTGGCGAATTTGAGGTGGAGTTTAGGTATGTGTCATCACCACTGCTGCTGCTGAAGCTCCCCCTGATGGCACTACCTCCCAGCACCGCGCATGGACGTCGCTGCCATTTGCAGGCTTTTTGAACACCGTAGTGCACTTTCTTTCTGCTCCCTGTAACCTTGTATGTACATAGCAAATAACCAGTCCCTTGTTTCACAGTCTTTTGGGCTTCGCCTCTGGCTCCATCATGTCTGCGACCATGTCATCAATATCTGAGACCTTTGCCCACCCTGGCTCCTCCAAGTTGAGGTGTTTCAAGACATTGTGTCTCATGTAGTAGGCAAAGCATGCTCTTTCACCCGTCGCTTCGGTGGCATGAAGTAGAGCCCTCCCGGTGATACCAACCATTGTCCCTGCTGAGTAGCGGACCTGGATGCCGACTGTTGGGATATCCATCTTGCCATTTGTGTAAGGGCCGACCGTCGCAAGGAGGTCCATGCATTTGAAGCCTCCACCGCTGTCACGATGGACAGGTGTCTGGCGGTTATTCATGATGGAGACGCCGGTGAACGGTAGTGCCCAGAGCTCCAGGATATCCTCCAGATTGGCACCTTTGTCAACCAGAACATCTCCATGCAGTGCTTGCACTGCCCGGTGGCCGGTTTCATACAACGCCGGGTGAATGACCCCCAGGATGCCACCTATGAGGAGGTTCGCTTCCTGGGCCTCATGGAGCCATTGAAGGCCCTCCACGGTTTGCAGAGTAGCAGATACCTCTAGATTATTGGTAGCCTAAGTTTCTAGTTAGCAAGTGTCAACCGAGACTCGGGTCACTCACTGCATACGCCTGCTGGAACCACGCAGGGGAGAAACTGGCGGTCCCTGGGCAGATGGTGCATTCCTCTGCCGCCATATAGTACTTGTTGCTGAGACGCCAACTCTTGGAGTGCCGGTCGATGGCGAGCAGCCGTTGAACAACCTCGACACCCTTCCACATTCGTTCCTGGTCATAGGTCATCTTATGTAGTTTGTCACTTGTGGTTCTCTTTACCCAAAGCGCCTCCCCCAAGATACCTGGCAGGTACCACATAACAATATGGCCCTCTTTGTCAACAACTATGAATGGCTGGGTTTTGAGATTCCTGCTGGCGTTGAGTGGCGGAAAGCACGTTTGAAGCTTTGCCTCCAGCGTTTCATTGCGCCCTGTTGAACAAGGGCTCTGGACTTCCAGAAAGTGTGAATAGTCAGCAATAGACCAGTCAAGATATTCTGAATATTGGGCCTTTCAGTAAATTGCAATAACTTTGCTCATGTGGCCTACTCTTGTTGCAGTAAGCTGCAACTAATTGCTGCACAATTCGGTTGCAGTCCTCCAGGAATTGCAACCTCCATTCAGCTGGAAAATCGACATTTCCATCTTGAAGGGCAATTTCAGCCGCAAACTTGTCTCTGAGATATTTCACAAGCAGCGCAGCAGGGTCCATGGCGGCGTTGTCTGATGTGGTCAGAAGAAAGGAGGAACAGCTGGACCTTGAATGAAGCCTCATATCCTAGCCGACATTGAGGTAATCTCATGCATCCATTGAATAATGTCAATGAGGGAGTCAGACCTGAAGATAGCAGGCTTCAGGAAGGCGAAGTAGGTTCTACCCCTCCTTTGCTGCTGGCACCCACCAAAAAACTCCGCTGCCCACTGGAGTAGCCGCCGCCTTTTTTTGCGGCCCTTCATGGGTTCTTACTTCTAAGACGGACATGGAATGAGCTGGACAATGTACCATCCTATTTATTTAGCACTCAGCTGAACAGTGTTCCTATAGTTCTACATTAGGTGCTCAGCTGAGTAAACTATCAGGTGTGTGTTCCATACAATTCACATCTCAGCTACGTAGTTAGTCCCACCATGGCTGCTCTCATATGTGTTCTGACTCCCCCTCGTCAAGTGTGGGTAAAGAAGGTGATGGTGGTGGTTTCAGATCAAGAGCTCCTCCCTCTGCTTTTAACTTAGTCTTATGTAGTACCGTGTATGTCTGGATGCCAGGGGAGTTCAATGACAATGCAAGTATCTCATTGTATTCATCCGTGCAGCTACGACAATCTCCAGAAACTAACCTATATATGGAAACTGAGCCAGCAGAAAATATCAACCGTGATCAACCGTTGATCAACCACCCCACAGACTGATATCGCGTGGAGCTCTCCAGGAAATACGAGGTTATAGAGAGATGTAAGTAATATTAATATATGGCATTCATCAGTCTGATATTCAGGTTCTGCTGGCTAAAGGTCTCAGCGCAACACATTTGAGCCACCACTGGCTCCAGCTGGCTTTGCGCAAAGCCTCTATTTAATGGGGGGCGGGCATGGATGGATTAAGTGTTTACAATTTTTCGTACGCAATACTATGTTTAAGTGCTCGCTGAGCTCCGGACCGGCCTGTCCGGTTTACTAGCGCATGTAGGGTTCATCAGACCCAATTCCTCTTATTAATTATATTTCGGAAATGAATATCTAGGGGATATGTAGTATAGGCAATGGAGGGATGTCCGCAAGAAGCAAGAAAGTGTCCGTGCTGTTTAAAGGTTGTCTATGAACGATTATTTCGGAAGAGGGATCTCCGCCACAAGGACCTCTGTTGGAAGCTTGACGTCCATCTCAACCTCCGCATCACTTGGCGCCTCAGTCTCTACGCGGGAAGCGACTCCGGGACCAAGAAGTCCCTTAAATCCATGTGAGCGAGCCTTCTTCAAGCTCAGGTGTCCAGCGTCTTTCCGTGTCCGCTTTTCACGTGGCTCCTCGAGGTCATCTTCTCGGCGCCTAACATGTGTCGAAGTGCTCCTGTGCCTTTCCCTCCCTCTTCTCTCCATCTCGTCATTGTCTTGGCCGACCTTCGTCTTGCTCCTCCCTCTATTTGCAAGAGCTTCAGCACGGGCGGCAGCAGTCAGATTGTGGTCCGGCGGTGTATGTCCAACACGAAGCAGCGCACGTGCCGAACTTTGGTGCGACCCGTACTTCTTCAACGTCTTGACAATCATGCACAGGTATACCATCCCCAAGAAGAAAACGGAAGTGATAATAATTCGTGGCACAAGGGCGACCTTGGCGCTCAGGGGCGGCCGCTGTTCCGGATCGAGTACTGATCCCGTGCGCCACACAAAGGAAAGAATTGCCGAAAGGAACAATAACATCGACCTGTCGAGATGTTCAAATCAGCCAACTAGATCATCGGTCGGTATCAATAATTTACCAAGCCATCCATACCGCTGGTGTTGCTAGTAGCACCCATACATTCCACCAAATCGACGTCTTGGTCTTCCTGGCTTCCTGAAGAACCATGAGCAAAACACTGCCTCTGCGAATGAAATAACAGATCACACCTCTGCCCATCTGGAAGCATGAAACATGCTCCTCATAGTCCCAAACCTCACTATATACATGCATCCATAGGAGAGGCTCATCAACGCGCATATCAGGGATATTAGAGCGAGAGTGCGAGTGATAGGATCGCTCGCTGCCTCAGGTATTTGGAAGATAGTGAAAATAGCTCTGAAGAAAAGTGACTAAGATGAATGCGGTTGTATAACCTGATTCGACATTGAACTCACGAGCCAAGTAAAGCGGAAACGACGTTCAATGTCTTCCATTCCCTCAGTAATGAGTCGATGAACGACTCCCAGGAGTGCTTAAACCGAATCAAAGCAGGAGAGACTAAAGGCGGAGACCATTCATCGGGGAATGGAAGCGGCATGTGCATCATCGAGGCGGCAGGAGCCGTACCAACCGAAGTGGACAAACCTATTCCGGACAGAACGCCGGGTGGGATAGCAGCAGCAGGTCCGTGCCCAGGCGTGCCATGGGCCGGCATCGTATGTGGATACTCCGTCGTCAAGTTGGCTGGAACAGTTGTAGACGGCCTGCGCATTCCTCCTGCATTCGACGCGTCGATCATGCGCTGAATATCCGGTTTGCTAACGTCCGCATCCTCGAATATCCGCGCAACACGAGAGAAGTACATGGCGGGCAGACGCAGGAGGAGATTGAGATACAGCTCACGGGGCAAAGTATCCGTGATGAAGAGACGTGCGTTGGCAAACGAGGTCTTGACTTCCTCGATGGGTAGCAGGTCGTCGCAATCGTATGCCCCGCTGAAGGCAGAGGCTGTACCTTCCTCGACGTCGGGTACCTTCTGGGTCGAAGCCTGGCAGCAGAATGGGAAACGCAACTGGAATCTGTAAGGGTCGACCGGAATAAAAGGATCTTCGAGCGGGGTCTGGTTTCCGCGATGGAACCCGGAGGACCATTGATGCAAGAACCTCAAAGGAGATGCCGCCCGCGAACGTGACTGGGATGGAGAACGGGAACGCAGGTGTTGGCTGTGGCTCCCTGGGGTCTCCGCGTCCCTATGGTGTTCTGAAGGCGAAGCACGTGCGGCTGGTGTATGTGTGGGAGTGTCACTGCCACGGAGGCGAGCGAAGACTAGAGATAAATCAATGTGAGTAACCGGTATGAAAATATGCATATACTGTGCTACCTTGTCCGACACCGCGAGGAGTGGGTAGCGAATGACGATCGCTATCAAAGGACACTCTTTGCTTCGGTGACCCGTTTTCTGGCGTTGGAGTTGGAGTTGGCTGGCGTGTATGTCCACCACTATTCGAAGGACTGAAATTCGGCGTAGGTGCCGATATGCTATGGCCCAGCATAGGGGCACTGTAGTCCGTCGCATAGAACGATGGAAGAGACGCCGACGCGTCCAAGCTGTGCCGAAATCCTCGTGTCAGACTCGGCAAGGCAAAATTTGACGCCCGAGACTGCCTATGAGAACTAGAAGTAATATTCCCTTGAATCGGGGTTGAAGCACCAGAGGCCGTCTTTGAAGGCGACGGAGTACCACGCGAATCTGTGAAATTGCGTTAATAACGCTACCACGGTCAGTACGGACGAGTGCTCACCGAGGTCTATCGAAGGAGAAGCTAGATTCGTTCCTCCAGGTTCTGAGAAGGCCCGTAAGCTGTGAATTTCCCTCGCGAAAATTTAAGTTTTACCTGGATTTGGACTCCCAGAACCGCGGTAGAGGTTAGGATGAGAGCTCGTCCGAAGGTGGGCAGGAAGAGCAGTAAGTTTATCAGAAGAGGTGAGTTTGGACGAAGAAGTCGTGGCATGAGAGTCTAGTAGATATATGCGCGTTATTTAAACATTCGCGGAACAGCGTTGCTCGATACTGACTACGACCAGTTGAAGACGACACTGAAATCCTCATTTCAGGCTCTGCGGTGGAGAAAGAGGTCATCCGGACTCATAGCCACAGTGTAATTGTATGCATACCTGTGCTGGGAGTTGAGGTACCTTCTCGGCTCTCATGTTTATCCTCCTTCGAGGGAAACGGAACATTGGCTGATCGCATCGACATAGCTTCAGCTGGCGATTCGCAACGGGTGCCTGTGCTGCTCAACGCGCGTAGGAAGCTCCTTGATCGCGTATAGATTGCTGGAAAGTCAAATGCTGCGAGCGTCGGGGAAGGATGGAATTACGACTCATTGGCGGCATGGGCTCCGCTCTTTATACTCCCCCCTCTGCACATCTCGGGCTTATGGAGGGTCGCAAAAATACACACCGCGTACCGGTCGGGTGCAGCCCGTCTGCGGAGACCTTACAGCGCTCAGCAGTGGCTCTGAGCGCCTCACCAGCGCTAGCACCCGTATTCGGTGGTATGAGGGGCCAAAGAGATGGCTTGCCGTCACACGTCATCACAGCTCTGTGACTGTCTTCAAGTGCTTGCCTCGAGGCCGGTGTATAGTGCAATTGTAAGGCGGCTGACAATGTGGGATACTAGAGTGATGCGAGGAGTGTCCATAGCAGTAATGTGGAAGGCCGTAGTGTAGGAATCAAGAAAAAAAATGAAATGAAAGGCGGGGAGGGGATAAAAGGCAACACACGAATCGCACAACTCATTCGATCCGACCGCGCAACCAACTCAGAAGGCCCTTTGTTCCCTCCCTTTCCCACACCCTTCTCTGCGGAACGCGGAAGCTAGAGAAAAGTGGTGCGCGTTAGTCACAAACTCTGACACTGGTGATAACCGTTTGACTCACGTGTTGCCATCCACCAAAAACACATCGAGAGGTAGCAGACCGAGCTCCGGAGGCAGCTTTCCGATCTCGTTATCCCGCAGATCCAATTCCTCCATCTTCCAGCCCGCTACCTCCCTATTTCCCTTGAACGACTCCGAGATCTTCACAAATCCATCCAACTCCGAAATCTTGTTGCCTCTCAACCGCAAATGACGCAGGCCCTTCCGGTGTGGAGAGTCAAGTATCAAAGTCGATAGCGCATCAGGTGTCAATGCAAAGCTTGTTAACCCATTGTAGGACAGGTTGAGCGTCCGCAGACTCGGGAACAGCTTGGACAGTGTAGGTATGATGAGCTCACTGGAGCGCGGTGGTGTGCTGGCGGGATCAGATGCATGATGGACGGCCACGAGATCGCCGAGGTTGCACCCCTCCAGATCTAACTCCTCCAGACAAGGCAAGAATCCGCTGATGGGGACGCTTTCTGGCGTGCTAGGCAGATCGAAGGATCTGTCGAGGCGGCGGTTCGCCAGGATCAGAACTCGTAATGTAGAGGCAAACGGTTGAGTGACGATAGTCGACAGAGGAAGAGTTGGGGTAGGCACTGCAAGGTCTCCATTGCGTGCAGGGGTTTTTGGGAAAGAGGATGGAGCTGCTACTGAGAAGGCGCGGAAATGGCCTGCTGATTTAGTTGGCGGAGCAGATGCTGGTAGTTGGAGTGTCTGGGTGGTTGGTGTATAGTACTGCGGACTGCTGAGGCCCATAGAGGTTGAAGGAGACGGAGAACTTGAAGGTCCTTCGGCAGTGGGAGGAGACCCTTTACCGAGCTCTGCTTGAGATGCAGCAGCCGCTGCAGCCGCCCTTGCACGCCTTTTGCCACCCTCTGTCAATAGGCCCTGCTCAGCTTCGATCTCCCAGGCTTCTTTCTGGACTTCCTTTGGCTGGATAACTTTCTTCGGTATCGCTGCAGAAGCCTTGGGCGGAGGAGTAGGAGACGCGGTTGATGTACGGCTGGTCGAACGGGGTGGCGGTAAGGCGTCTGTCCAATCATCCCCAAAATTGACGGTGGTGTGGGCTCTGCTCTTCGCACGTTGCTCGAGTTCCAACTCCCATGGCTCCTTGACAATTCGTTTGCCAACAAGGACGCGTGTCACGCCCATAGGGGGCTCTTCTGTTGAGAAGTCGAAGTTGAGTTCCTGTGTCATTTGTTTCAAGGCGTCTTTAGCGGCACTCAAGTTGACTTGGGTCTCTGACACGTCCAGAATACGAAGAGAAGGAAAGGGGACAAAAGAAACAAGAGATAAAGGAAAGGAATCGTCTCCAATTTCTGCATGCTCAAACCTGAGTTCTTTCAAACGCTTCAAAGAGGCCAGGTTCCGTAAGAATTGTTGTGATTGCCCAAGTGGATTTCTCGACAGATCGACTTTTGTCAAAGACACTGGCAATTGGTCATGGATGGCCGCCGCTGAAATCTTGTTAGACGAAGCATCCAAAGAAACAAGATGAGGTAAGGGTGTGGTAGCGCGTGTAATTGCAGGTGTGAAGAAACCTCCGCTTGGTTGCCGTGCGTTCTTCGACCGACCAGTGGTGCCGACAAACGGTGCATTGAATGGTAATGCCGTGAGTTGGTTATGTGATAAATTGAGGGTCGTGAGCTCTGGAAGAGCCCAGAGATTGTCGGGGACGGACGTGAGAGCATTATGGGATAGATCCAGGACAGTAAGAGCTGTCAGGTCTGCAAACGTGTTCGGCAAGCTTGCTAGTCTGTTTTTATGTAACTAAACCACCCTTCAGCACGAGGACAAGAAAAGAGCGAAGAAAAAACCTACGTCGACCGTCTTCAGTGACCCAAAAAGCGAAATTTCATGCTGAAGCTCCTCGATTTCGTTGTTCCACGCTTTGAGGACAGTAAGATCTTGTGCTTCGTACCATGCAGCTTTGTTTTGGTTGCCACCACGTCGAGACGATGTAGGCTCTGAAGGAGGTAAAACTGGTTCTTGAGGAACCGATTTGAGAGGATCGGGGGTCAATCCGAGGTGCATCTCGAACAAAGCCGACGGTAGGCAAACCAGTGAGCGCGTCGCGAGATTGAGCGAACCTTTCCGAAAAGGCCTTCATCTTAAGTTCAGCACTACATACGCGACAGAACTTTGCTCGTACCTGTGCTCCTTGCGCTCTCGATCGTGTCTCTCACAGTCAGACGGCCCAGCAAATCGTCTTCCTCCTGTTTTGGCGCGTCTGGGAGGGCATCTTCGAGACTTCCCAGGTTGTCTAGCCCGCCACTTCCTGCTTTTTCTTGTGCTTTCTTCGCCTCTGCTCTCTTTAACGCGATAGCTTCCTTGATGCTTAGAGCGGGGGCTGAAGGTGCTGGGGAAGGAGGTGGTGGCTGGCTGGCTACCTTGGCCTTTGCAGGAGCCGGTGATCGCGGTGTTGATTGAGTGCGGGTTCTAATGGGCGTGCTTCCGGTCGTTATCCGCGTTTTCCCTGGCGTAGATGGTGGCTTTAACGAAGGGCGGGATGAAGGGGGCTGAGGAATTCGGGACATTTGCGGCGACCGTTGTTTGAGGGGTGAATCTCCAGGCAAATGGCTGTTGAATTCACTTCAGAGAGGCAGCAATTGAAAGCTGAAGTTCTGATAGGAAAATTCAGGACTTTATCTGGAAAAAGCGGTATAAACCCTGGGGACCATGATGAGTCGCGTCACTTGAGCGTAGGGATGACCTTGGCGCCTAAATTCAATCTCCGAAAAGGCTCCGTCTAAACTCTATGCTGAGCCTTACTTACCACTACCAACCCCATTCAGGAATCCTGTCAGATATGTACAGAACAAGTTTCTATCAGACGGGCGCTTCGAAATCACACGGCGCTCTCTTGTCCTTTCTCCTCAACCCAAAGGCCAGCAAGCTCTAATCGAAATGCCGATACGAGGCAAAACAGAGCCAGACCCATACCAGCCACTTTACTTCACGTCTTTGAAGGAGCTCGACGCATGGGTTCCTGGACAATCGGCCAAATATGATGGCATCCTGAAGTACCAGGCAAGGAAACCCGACTTATCATCTGCGACACGGGGAAAACTCCTGGTGTGTTTTGAGACCTTGACCTTTTCAAGTCAAACTCAAATTTATCTAGGTTTGCCATGACTATAAGGTGCCTAAGCAATCGAAGTCGTGAAACCTGGAAAGCAAACTTAGCCGCCTAAATCCAGGGAGGGTACAATGAGAGTTCCTTCGCTCGATCCTATACCTTCAATTTCTGGTCTACGTGCGAGACATTCGTCTAGTACGCGTAATCCATATCATTCCTTTTAATGCGACTCTGACCCAGCGATCAGCTTTTCGCACCATCGAGTGACTATACCCCCACCTGGATGGATAACTGCTGCCCATAGACAGGGGGCGAAGATGCTGGGAGTACTGTGAGTTTACCCCTCAAAGCCACCGCGGGATGATCTTAGATTTCGTGTCCAGGATATTCGAAGGCGGAGGCGAAGAAGACTCTCTCCGCTTGATTGTCGGAAAGATGCCCACCTCACAATTGAAGACTGGCCAAGTCGATCAAACATCACCTTCCTTTACTTTACCTCTTTCGACCCACTACGCAAAAGTGCTGGCTGAGCTCGCCCGCGAACGAGGTTTTGACGGCTATCTGCTCAACTTCGAAGTCCCTCTTGGCGGCGGGTTCGAACAAACGAGGGCACTAGCGGCATGGATTACTGTATTGCAAGCGGAAATACTAGAGAAGGTCGGACTCCATGGCGAGACGGTGTGGTATGACCGTTCGATATCATGATCAACGAATGAATCCACTAATGTTTCTGGCACAGGTATGACAGCGTAGTTATTAACGGTCAGCTCGCATGGCAGGATCGGCTGAACAGCTACAACCTACCTTTCTTCCTCTCATCCACCACCTTTTTCTCAAACTACACAGTGCGTCGTCAGCCTTTAACAACCCCTTAACTATTCCTCAAAAATACCCTCAGTGGCGGATTGAGTACCCAGCATTGACAGCTCAGTACTTCATGAGCCTTGACCCAGCTCTCATAGGGAACACACCAACATCGCAAACCCAACGTGCTATGAAGACCCTCCAAGACATCTACATGGGGGTCGACGTTTGGGGCCGGGGCACACACGGCGGCGGTGGCTTGGGGTCGTACAAAGCCATTGAGCACATCTCTCCCGACTCACTCGGGCTCAGTGTTGCCTTCTTCGCGCCAGCATGGACGTGGGAGACCGAGGAGGACAAGGAAGGCTGGGACTGGGACCAATGGTGGCGATACGACAGCACGCTGTGGGTCGGGCCTGCTAGCGGCACTGTAACAGTACCTGACATGCCTCCACCAAAGAAAGGCGAGGACCCGTGCACGCATGGCCAGTTCGTGCCCGTCTCTGCGTTCTTCCCTACACGGCCTCCGCCGGACCCTGTCGAGATCCGCTTCCACACAGTGTTTTGCCCGGGTACTGGCCTTGCATGGTTCGTGGATGGTGTGAAGGTGTTCCAGAGCGATAAGGGGTGGGCGGATGTTGACAAGCAGACGAGTGTCGGTAACTTGCTCTGGCCGCGCCCAAAGCTGTACTGGGATGACGACCGCGAAGACACTATTCCAACCGCGCTTTCTTCATTCCAGATGGACGACGCATGGAATGGAGGTAATTCTGTGAAGATATCGATTTCGTGCCCAGGTTCAGAAGACGACAAGGCTGCTTATCGCCCACTCTGGCTTCCAGTTCAAACGATGAGCATTACACCTCGAAGAACTTACGAGGCATCAGCAATCTACAAGATTGGCCACGACTCAACGAACGGATTGGACACGGAGTTTGCCCTTACATTCAAGACTGTGCCAGGCAGTACCGATGACTTGGTGTGCAACATCACCTCAAGTACCAGCTCTGACCTGCCGGGCGGATGGACGAAGCTAACGATCCAGTTCAACACCTCTGGGTCCGAGGAAACAATTACACCGCCCAGTACGATAGCCATGGGTCTCGTCATCGCAATCTTAACCGAAGACCCCACCCAACCACTCGAAATATCGTTCCTCATCGGTCAATTCAACGTATCAGCTCATCTCCCAGACTCGTACCTCGAGGACGACCCGCTCATTCTCTGGGCAGACTACGCCCCAACAGCAACGCCCTCTAGAGCCGCTGCCCCGTTCTTCGGTACCCTCTCCTGGGGCGTAGCAAGCACCTTCCCTCCTGTCCCACCTATCACGATAATCTCGCCTGAAGATCCTGTCTCGGCATGGAACCTCCAACCCACTATCGAATGGTTCCCTGCCTTCTTGTATTTCAACATCTACGCCCAAAAATTCGTGGACCCATTCACTATTGGGACGGTAGAGAAAGCGACGTGGATTGGTACGTCAGGTGCAGGATGGAGTGGGCAGGAGAATGCTTTTAGCTTGCTTCCTGAGAACCTGCCTTTTGAGGTGGATAGGAACACGAAGGTCCGGTTCTATGTCCAGGGTATCACAGATCGTGGAGAGGTGTTGAAGTGGGAGAGATGTGCGTACGTTGACGTACCGGCAGTCTTACCGCTCTGACCTTTAGGCCGTGGAGCGTCGATTTTTTATGATTTCGTATGGCCACTGGAAGGTTAGCGTAGTTCCTCAGTGTTTGAACCTGCTGGCCAAGTACGGGGTCTTCCACATGATCCCAATTCACGCCATCTTTGCCTGCACAAAATATATATGGAGAGATTGAGATGCTTTATAAACGAGAATCAGGATCCACGATATACCAAGGCGTCTAGTGCTCTATTCTAAATGCGCAAGAAACGCGATCCAAATTTGAAGAGACTCCTCAATTTGATTTCAGACCCTGGCTTTGTGTTGCTAGAGAAAAATTTGAGTATCAATTGTCGCATCTTAGAATCTAATCCCACCGTATTCACGGAAAGACGCCCTGTATATTTATCGTTCAGATTTAGGGTCGTTTACCATCGGAGGTTGTGTTTTCAGTATGCGCAGTGGCCACTTCTACTTATGTAGATGGAATCCTGTGTCCTCTAACTTGTCGGTTCCCTTTGTCCGTACCTTTCCGAATGGCTTCTCCCATTTTTCTGCAGTCTCCTCTTTGGTTTTTGATGTGTAAATGCAAATTGACTACTTGTCAGACATTATTTGGATACAGTTGCCAACGACATCGGTCCTCTCCCTGCGGTCAAATGCTCTCTCGGAACCCCATCAAGTATTGCATCAGTTGAAAGGCAGCCACAGGCGAGAATTGTGGAACCCTGAAGTCCAAAAACCCGTTGAGAGAAGTCGCCATGAAAAGATTGAACGACAACGTACATATGCCCGCTTAGTTCGACCTCAACATACGCCAGCCCACGTTCGAGGTGTGCAGTGCCTAATGCTCCAACACCATCGACGATGAAGCTGTCGTTTGCAATTGGTGATTGGAAACCTTGCAGTCCGTTCCATGTCATGCTGGCGGAATTGGAACTATTAGAGACGTCCGAGAATATATATGTGAGCGACCAACTTTTGGATGACGATTCTCGTTCTATAACAAGAAAAAAAATCAGTATCCCGGAAGATCAGGGATAAAGACCACCTCGTACCCTTCAGCAATGAGGATGAAATCGGCCAAACCATGCACGATGACAGTCCTGTTGTTCTTCTCAACGACGTTGGGCAGCACGGTGAATGCCGGTGGCAAGCTCTGGTCCCCTCGGCCCGTGAAGACGTTGATGTTGGAGCACTCCTCCCAGCTCGTGCTCAGCGGGGCGTGGATGGCTTGCTTGACGTCAGTCCTGTTGAAGTAGAGCGGGGTCTGCTGCTGAGGGAAGGAGCCTCTGTAAACATGATGATCACGTCAGAATTTCACTCATGCCGAAGTGCCGAGGGACAGAAACGTACGGGAATCCAAGGACGTCCCACAAGATAGGATACGTGTCGAAAATGCGATAAATGTTGAAAGCAGGGTTGACGAGAAGGGCAGCATCGAAGATCATATCCCACACGTCGCAGCCTCTGTCCGCGAAGGTCGACCTGCCTGGTAGTGGAAGGAGGCCTAACGGCGGGTAGGTGACGAACTTCTCCACGTAGCCAGTGTAGTTGCATCGCTCTGCGATGTCATCGAGCTGGGCCATGAACGTCTGGCTAGAAGGAGAATCAGGTTGAGTGCCATGTTTGAGGTTTTTCATGAGGATTTTGGCCAGACGTACTTGAATGCGAAAACGTGCTCGTATTTGTGCACAAAGCCGACTGCTGGGATTTGTTCTTGCACGACATCCCAAGAGAGCGAAGCTGGCAGGAACCGATATCAGACTAGAGGATGTGCGCTGGTCTTGACCAATCCAAGACGTACGATCTGCGATCCATGTTCCTTGCAGATTGAGATTAAGCTCGCCAGGGTGCTCATAAATGTAGTTCGCGATGTCTGAGAAGGATGTTAGAGAACACAAATCCCCCTGGAGTGGCGAGTGACGAACATGGGATGTAGGTTCCAGCGTACTGAAGAAGGGTTCAATGATTTGATGGACCACGACAGAATTGGGAGGCATGTCCACGCACACTCTCACCCGAAAGATAGAATTTCTTGCCCTTCAACTCCGAGAACACTTCCAGGAATTGTTGCAGGAATCCAACAAGCTGTGCAGCGAGCTGGTCCTCATTCTATGAATATTTTTTTGTATTGTCTCAGGAATGTATCTTCCAAGAATGTACGGGAAGAAACGCACTTGAATATTCGGCCTTCCCTGCGAAAACCCCGTCCCAACAGGCTGCTCGACCCACAAAACACTGGAGAGATTCGTCCAGCTAAACTCATTGACGGTAGGTTTTGCTTGACCCCATTGCCATTGAAAAGGCTAAGAACAGCCTCAGTATGTGCGGTTCATTCTATCATGGATACAATGCCACTTACGCCGTTCTCCTGTAGAAGCCCTTCTAACGACGAACAACCCGGCCCACCATTTGTCCTAGCGTCATTTATAGAAAACGGCGAGTGAACATCCCGCTAATACGCACGCGCGCCCCAAGATCGTATACGCACCAGAAGATCAAGTCATCCAGAGAACCTTGCGGTCCAGGTGGGAAGAACCAGAAAAAGAGCTGCACAGAAAAGATGGATGAATGGTCAGAGACCAGATGAGGGGTAGCATGCCATGAGAGTTGTTACACCTTTCGCGTCTCGTTCTGGTCGCCGCTGATAGGCAGAAGACCTGACCAACTCGGCCCGATGTCGAAGTCAACCTCGGGGATGCTCGTTCCGTCGACGTAGAACTCTGCATACAGCAGCAAAAGGTCAACACTACGAAGACGACTCGAAGCAAGGTGTAGTGGGGATGGACGTACCGGATGCCTTGGGGTTGGAAAACGTGATATTCCTGACTGCAGCTCTCGTTGCAGTATCCTCGCGTCTCACAGGGCCATTGATATGCCACCGTTTCGCTGCTTCAACCTGGCGTGCGTGGATTTCTTGTTTCGTGATCCGCCGTGCCGCCGTGCCAACTGGGAAGAGCGCTGTCGTCGCAACGAGCGTAGCAAGTAGCAGCCGTTGTATGGATGGCATACTATCGAGGGGGGGTAGAAAGACACGCAAGGGCAGCCACCTGGCACCATAGATCGTGGATATAAATGCATGGGCACGCACCACTCATTCAAGCGAACGTATGCCGCGGTTCGAGAATTATCGCATTGTGGGACGACCATATGGCTCGAGCTCGTTCACGCTGGTCGAGTGTATTTTTAGCACACATACATTCGCGCGTTAGTGGACCCCATGGGCATGCTTGGAATCTATAAATGATAGGCATATGTACCTGTAAGCGCAAAAGATAACCGTATCAGCGAACTCCATGTGCCCATCCAGATACAAGGCCGTACCATACACACTCGTATGCATCTCCCCACAGCTGCGCACTCTGCTCTACGTAGCTGGCGGGTTTTCTTGATCATAACACTGTGCAAATTCTTGCAGTCATATATAGGTGTATCTTTAGCTGCCAAGAATCAACAGCACTGGGGTATTCAGTCTGATGGCAAATTAGTATATTTAGCAGGACAGCTGTAATCATCCGAGCGTACACGTACCAGCCCCCCGCAGTAACATTCTGTTGAACGACATATCCGAGTTGCGGATTCCGTCTCTATTCAGTCCAGCACCAAATGTACATGTCTCGACGCGACTCGGCTTCGCCCCTAGGGGACCTTGGTCGATGCTCCTCATTGCCGTTCATATCTTCGGCGGTTGCAGAGTCAAGAAAGCAGAATCACGTCCACGCGCTTCATATTATTGAACGTCTTTACAGCTTGCAAGGACAACGGATAGCAGAGGGAGAAAACCAAGTTCCTCTAACGCGCTTGATGGTCAACGAAGCACGCTACGAAAGGTCGAGGTATTCGACAAAGACTCACTGGATATCTCCGTTGCCTTCTCCCCGACATGCCTGTCATACGGATTCCAGGCGAACATAGTTGAGGTCTGGGTGGGCCAAGGTAGCCATAGGCAGGGTTCACCTCAGCGCACAGTCACATAATACTGGCGGCCCGGATCCAACCGCACCAAGAATGAGCCATTGGGACGAAGGTAGCGGACTTGTTCAGCTTACCAGCGATATAAGACTTCTGTCTTCCACCTCGAAAGACTCGTTAAGCTGCAATCTTGTGACAGATGCGATCAGAAATAGCCTGCTCCAGGGTGTCTGCGGAGGACCCATCGTTTGAAAGGGTCTTCATCTCCTCCATGTCTCGATACAAGTGGTCGATGTACTCAGCTGCACCAGAAAGATGAGCCACCTTAGCACAAGCCGCGTGAATGGCCAAGTACTCTCGCGAGGGGACGGAAAGCTTCTCTGGCACCGTCGAGGTAAACGTGATTTCTTTCGGATAGTGGCGAACAAAGACACGTTCGCTTTCTGGTGTTTGAATTCTGTAAGTATTTCCGACCTGGTTATGTTGATTCGCTGTGAGTCATCGAGGGATGCAAGTCGAGACGTACCTCATGAACGAACCAAAGCCTTAGAGTGTCGAACATCTCCTGCAAAGATGGTGTCAGAGTCATGACATTCTCTAAGCGGTGGATCCTGGAGCCATTCAGCTCATCTGGAATATGTTCATAGCCGAAGCGACTCATGACAGTCCATATGGACGCCGCATATTTCTCCTGTTATAAGTAGGTGAGAACGATGATGAATCATGACGCAGTACGAGTCTGCAGAGGACCTACTTTCTCGGAATCGCAAAGAATATTGGTATTCGTTGACTCAGAGAATATATAGATGCAATGTGTGAGGTCCGCCCTGGCTTCCTCCTCTGAAGTGAGTATATCCATAAGTTCTTGTATGTTGCGGGCAGAGTCACGATCAATGACGCCAGAAATTGCGCAGCGATATCGATCCCGAATCAAGGCCTGGTTATTAAGAGGCTGGTCACCAGGCGGCTCACACCATGTTCAAAGAGGGTAGCTGGACTGGCATTCTTTTTTACAGCGGTGTGATTCTCTGGGGCTTCCTCTAAACACTCCCTGAACATATCTGATATCCTATCGAACAAGGGTGGAGAAGGGTGGAGGCTTAGTATCGGCGTACGACCTTTGGGGCACCGAACTGCAGTCGAACAATAAGGTCAGACGTAACTTATAAGCACTCCAGGAGGGAAAAACACACAAGCTCGAACAAAGTGGTCCAAGTAGCCTTGCCCGAGTTCTCGAAGTGACTCGGTGTCTGTGCAAGAACTAATTTCCTGGACCACGGTTTTGAGTCCAGTGTCGCTGGGAACATGGTGTACCAGGTAGCCAACGATTCGACAGCAAATTAACGCTTTCTTGAGCTCCGTTGGTCTGAGCCATGCGTTGTTCTCCATGATTTCTTTCTAGACACGAAGGCAGACGTTGTAGGCGCTGACGACGTGGGCAACGTGTCTAATTCTCTCTGGGACTTCAGGAGTTAGCGGAGCGGCCATGGTAGCGGGGTTCTCCAGAAAGTTCAAGTCCGAGCCGTCCAAGCGTCTGCCCCTTTGATGACAAAGGCTCCTGTGGGAATTCGGCTGCCGCGGCGACAAATATCCTACAGTACATACTTCAGTGACAGATCTGCCACGACGTTTGCCCTTAAGTCTACACGCCCCAAGCCCGCCCTTTGCGATCCCCTGCGGCACCTCCTGTACGTTCTTTCCTTCAGACTAAAGTGAGTTTGCCATCATTCTGAAGAACTCCTTGTGCCAATTGACATCGTCCGTGCAGCTTCTCGACATCGACTCAATCAGCATCTCCCCGCACAATGCTCGACAGAAATCGCCCAACCGCTCGATGGATATCCCGCCGCCGTTTTGTCCCAACTGTCTCGATGAGGTCCCATGGAGGCGGGTCTCGTCTAACGAGAACGGGAACCGCGGTCGCGTTTTCGCATCGGTGAGCATCTTCGCGTGTTCCTCTAAAGTTGGCTTCTCATTGGATTTTAGTCGGATTTTAGTGCAAGAAAACTGTCAATTCGAATACCAGCATCCCGTGCAACTTCTTCCAATGGTACCCTGGGTCCCGCCCTGCATCGCAATCCGTCTCGCCCACTCTCCCCTCCGCCAGTCAACTGCAGCCTTCTGTTCCCCTTTTTACTCCGTTGATCCAATTTCAGCCCCTCACTGCGCAGCCTGATCAGGTTGAATGCAAGACGAATGGCTGCAAATCGACCCGTATCCGGAAAGGGTGCCCACACCAGCGCCGCAAGAACCACTGCCGCGATGAAGGCGGATGTGCGTCTCATGCCAACCTGAAGCCCAAAACCACCAATGCCATCCCATCTCTTACCCCACACTCTTTTGCGACCCAACCCACTGCAACCCCTCCCTTGACAAACCGCGCCAGTTCTCATCCCTTGTCCGTCATCAACCCCAACCTTCAAGACTTTGTGCTCCCGACTGCGACGCCGCCAGTATCCCGCCCTGCTCCGACGCCTGCCACGAGCGAGCCAAATATTCAAGCTGGCCCCACTCCCACATGGTTCCCGTCTTCACAGAGAGATGGGCCATAGAACATAGGCTGCGCGAGGACCGGCGGAAGCGCGATGAAGAGAGGCTGGTGAACGCGCGGAAGGCGAAGCATACAGTCTTCGTGTACGCATGGGTTGAGGTACGTTTGTCAGACTTCTACAGAACCACGGCCCCCTAACAATTACCAGGACAATGTGGAGCACGCTATCGTTGAGGTTTAGGATGGGTTTACATGGCCCCTTCTCGTCTTCAATGACAGCTTGCTCTCACAAGCTGGTATGGCTGATGCCGTCCGTCTCAACCTCTTCCGCCCGTCAGTGGGAATGTGGTCCATCATCAAACGCGGGCTGGTCATGGACCTGACGACGGAGGGCAACCGAGTCTTCGTCAAGACCCTGGATGTGCGAGAGTTGTCAAGTACACCTTGCCTGTCATCGCCACGACACGAGGCCGGCTGGATGTCAAGGGAGAACGTGCCTACATCCGCCAGCGTGCTGTAGGTGGAGAGTCGCCGGAGGAGCTAGTTGATCGCGTGAAGGCCTTTCCGTTCCTGCTGGTCATTTATTGGCAGTAGCATCGCCTGAAAGCTCGAGAGACGAAGGATACTAAGTCTAGACTGTGTTGTGTTGCTCTACTCGACACCACTACTCGCACTCGGTCCTCGATTCCTAGTTCTATGAGCATGCGAAAATTGATGGTGGTGATCAAGAGGCATCTGCTACTCAAACCGCACGGGCTTTCCGTGACAATGCCCACCAAGAAGGTCAGAAAGGACTCCATTTTTCCTAATCTTTGGTTAACATCTTACATGTTTTCTAGACTGCTTCATGCAGAAATGTCCTGAGCTCAGGAACTTGCGTAAAGCACCGCACTTTACCTCAATCCTGGTGAACCCTATTTCCCGCCCAAGCCTGTCTGACGGCGCGCAAGCTGCGGCATCAGACCCCTGGCTCTCGTGCAGTGACGATTAACCCTTTCAGTGCCGTTGATGTTCTCGACCGAACACATCCAGGGCTCAAGAGCCTCGAGGACGAGCAGGTGTATCCGGAACACGACCACAACACGCTGGACATACCGGATTCCAAAACTACACCGAAAGGACCTTTGCTGGATATCGCACGGAAGAGGGCTATGCGACGCGTTCCGATGTCATATTTGACTGCGACGAACAAGGCTCGCATGGGTGCAAAACGGTACACGCGTTGCCAGATCACCCGGGGTATGAAGGTCGCATTGAACCTCATTGTGACGCGAGGGCCTTATTTCGGAGACCCTGCATTGAAGAATGATGGCCAAGCGAAGGAGGACCTGGGATCCTTGAGTGTTAAGATTAAACCAAAGCGCCTACTTGTACGATCTGACGAAGAAGAAGCGAGGTCGATGGGCAGGAAACGGATTATGCAAGGTAAGACTCTACCTTACGCGGATTTCAAAGCTGAATGTTTCCAGGAGGGTCCTATATTTGGTTCCCGACGATGGGAGTTCACCGAATGCCTTCTTAACAGTTAATCCCCCGTCTACGACAAAAGCTAACTTCCCTCCACAAACGGGCCAATGAACTTGATGGTTCATTAACGCTCTCGGAAATGATGGACGTTCAAATCAATTCCAGACCCTAAAAAATTAAAAATGGGAAATACGACACCACCGCAGACAAATTCAGCATATGGCCCACAACAGCCTCTAGGCTATGTCGAAGGACAATCTCCTCGGCCACCTGAATTATCGGAGGAGCCCGTCAAGCCGAAACTTCCGGTCTCAAAGCCCCAACCCATCCGGCCCACTTCTGCGCTGAAGAAAGTTGTCACAACCTTCGATAACAACAAGTGGAAGAAAGAGCTGATGGACGGGCTGGCCTTACTCCAAAAACATTGAGCTCATCGAGGTCTGTCGCCGCGGGCAGTGCCCTATGTTAATATGTTTTGTAAAATTTGCCACGACAATGATGCAGCCCTTCCGCTGGTGAATTCAACTTGAGAAGCCCCTGAAAGTGCGCGAAGAACAGCCGCGATGAGATAACCTGACACAATGTTGGCTCTGCCTGCTGTCGTAGATCGGAGAGACGTAGATGCAGCCGCTGTCTATTGATTTATGAGGTATCCATTTCCCTTCTGTTCCAACTGGGAATTTATAATCACATATGTTGAATAATCCTCTGCAAAGACAACATGGAATAGTTGAGGAAGCGCTGAAAGTTGGTCAGTGCTCAAGTAAATCCAATAGGTGTTAATAGATGTGACATACAAGGATGTGCTTTCATCGGTGTCGTCCTCCGGAAGTCTAGCATTACGTATTCTTGCAAGATATTCCCAGAGATCCATGGGTGGTATGCGCCCCCTGGCTTGAACCGGGATCCATGCTGTTCCAATTCGTTGCCATCCCGGATGATTTCAATTCCCCACCCTCGTTTGATAACCAGAAAGTCGATCCGACCCTGACGGGCAGCGTCGTGAGGTGTCCTGTATTCGGGCGACATCTGTATAGCACCATTAGTGACAGCACATGCTGCGCGATAAAATTGCTTTTGCCAGAGATCTTCAATGACTGTTGCGGTGCAGGACTTGACCTGAGGAAGAGGGGTCTCTCGCAGGGCTGATAGCGAGATGTTGTCGACAACAGTTTTCCAGAACGTGAAGAGGTCACACTCAAGGAACCTACTGGGTAGGGTCGAACGAGTTTGGAGGAAATAGGAGATCCAGGACCCAAAAAGTGGGGATGATGGCTGAACACAAAGTCCACCCATGTCAAATTTCTCGATTGTTATCCAGCCCTTCTTGCACATTTGGCTCAGCACAGGAAGACGGGAATCAGCGGGTGGAATGGAAAGATTGCCAAAATCCAAAAGTTGATGGGGGGCTTCGACTTCTTCAGGTTGGACAGGTTGTTCTTCGGAGGGAAGGGCGCAAGAGTATTGGCTGCTGCGGACTCTATAAAAAAATTCTGCAAGCGTGAATGCTGTATAGAAATTGTCTAGCGAGATTTCCGGCTCGTTAATGTTCAGTTTTTTCTAGATTATCCTGCTAGACAATCTGCTCAATAATTGGCATACTTACTTACCTTGACAAGGTTGGTGAGCGTTAACATTGTCTCAACAGCGCCAGGGTGCCCGGCGGTGATCACAAAGATATGATCTGCTAGATCGGGAGCCGGAGGCACACTGTTGATGACGATTCTTGAGGCGACGGAATCACGAATACGTGCTATGTAGGTGTCATACTCGTTTCTGGTGTAACAGAGGCCATGGGTTACATCGCTCGAAGGAAACAGACCAACGAGAGCGTCGTCTGGTATATAGATTGGTGCGCCCTTCTCTCTAGACATATTCGATTGAATAACGTTGCTTCCGTATGTAGCAAAACATACTATGTTGGCACCCTTCCCCTGAATATTTTTGAAGATGGTCCAGAGGGCGTCGTCGCCATAACTTTTCTGGGCTTTGTCTAAGAGTATCCATCTTCTGCGAGGTTGTTCATCCAATTGAAACCGATTGATTGATTTCAGGGTAAAGGTAGACGGCCCATCGGCCAGCTGGTCGAAACGCTGGTCAATGTTCATGCCTTCAGCAGCATTGGGCCACCCATCGTAAATACTCACGAGTGCATCCTTGTCGACAGCGAGGATATACCGTAACAGGAGTGTCATGAAAGTAGTCTTCCTGGATGCCGGGGAGGCCCGGACCTTCAGGAAATGAGTGTCAATGTTGCATAGATGTAGGAATCAGTCGCACCAGGACTAAACCCTTATCCGACGCCTGATTGTACAGGGCAGTAACAAAAGCATTGCGTGGTTCCACGACGCCTAAAGCCGAGACATCTGAGAGGAACGAGAGGCAAATAAGATTGCCAAACGTACCATGAAATGACGGCGCCCTTGTGTGCGTCGGTAGTAGTGGTGGCGGCGCACAGTTGGATTGCATTTGAAGTTCATCCTGAATGCGCGGGCATTGGTCCTCAGACAAGCCGTCGACCAGACTACGGCGGACGCGATATAACAGTCGCTGCTGTGTACCAACAATTCGGACAGAAGAAATGGTATGCTGCTCCCATTGACTCGAATCCGGGATGTAGGTGTCAAGATAAGAAGTGCTCGAGAGACCTAGGTCGGAAATGATGTTGCTAAACCCCGATAGCTGGAAGTACGGGAACGTAGGAAGGATTTTCTGCAGTCGTATAGGCTCATGATCGGCCTATATCAAGAACGCCACGGCAGACACTGTCGGTCAGCTGCGAGGACTCTCCAAGAACGCTCGGAGGCATACCTTGTACCATATGACGATCGTGACTGATCTGTTCAGCTCGTCTAGCTGTCTTCGCATTTGCTATCGATATCCCACACCCCACAGGCCATAATTTAGGAGACCGAGGATTGCTAGACGCAGACATCTCACCTCTTCCGGCGACGGGACCTGCGAGGATGTCTGATGCTGGCCCCGAGTAGCCGACATGGTCACGTTCGTCGACGTCGTGGCGATGGGGCTCATGTACGGGTGGTCCATGTGCTGCTCATGATTAGCTCAGGCGGTGGCGCTGTCTGAGACGACGAACAGCGAGCTCCGTATATTGTGGATCTACAAGCCCGTTAGGGACGATGACGAGAGAGCTGCTGATAATTAGGGGCTTACTGACACTGTAGACGCTGGTCTCTGATCTTGGGCGGTGTACCTGGGTACACGGACAGCGAGGAAAGAGACCTTCGGCTCGGATGGTCCAGTCAGTGTGGTGATTAGGGGTAACTTGAAGCGTGGGAACTCCAAATTGCGATGGTCCGTGCGTGGCGTGACTTCTTGGCCTCGCCTCGTCACAATGGCCACTCGACTCTCTTTCTGCAACCACCATCATGTCCGACCTTGACGCTGACCTCTACGGCGGTAAGTGACCCCAACGCAGTTGTGGGGACAACCTACCTGACAAACGCCCACAGACCTTTACGGAAACGACGAAGTTGGCGACGAGCAGCCTGTGGAAGACATTGACGCGCAACCCGAGGCCAGCGAAGAGGCCCAAGCGGTAAAGCAAGCAACTCCTGAACCTCTCTCAAAACCCGCAACGACAACGGCTCCGGTCGCGGAGAAAATCTATTCTAATGGAACGGTATCACAACCCGCGCCAACGGCTAATGGCATAAAGTCAGTGTCGTACGCCTCACAACAACCTGCCCCGCAGAAGATTCCAACGTACGAACAACCTCAACCTTCGGAATACCGCGAGGTCCAAGCACCTCGAACAGAAAATGTCTACCAGAATATGAACATACCTGGCAACGAACGCTCGGTCCGACCCTCGGAGATGAAAGACGAAGGGTAAGAGCCTTTCCCCCTGGTGTTGCTAAACACCTCTGCTTCTCTCAGGATCCTACTGTGGGCCATTCCTACTGCTTCTTGAGTGACCCCCTCATACGGCGTTCGTCGTTAGCAGACTCTCGTGTAGTCAGTCGATCCTCTAAGCTAGCTCTAGCGTATCTGCTACACATAAGCTAAGCTATCAACACGTCGATATTTGGTCCACAGTAGCGTCTTTCCATTCTCTCCTCTTTTGTCCATGACACATCTCTGTCTAGCATACTGATACTAATAGCAACTCTTTGTCTTTCTATATCATTCACCCCACGTAACCTCCTCAAACCTCAACCATGTTCGCCTCAACGTCCTGCTCTGTAGAAAAATGTTCATTGGAGGCCTCAACTGGGATACAACAGATGGTAGATATTTTGATGTCTTCTACATTAGTTCTTTGTGGCTGAAGCTTGCTACGTAGATGGACTGCGGGACTACTTTTCACAATTTGGCAAAGTCGACGCTTGTACTATCATGAGGGACGCCGCTGGAAGATCAAGGTGTTTTGCATTCTTAACGTTCGAGGACCCAGCGAGCGTGAATGCGGTAATGGTTCGCGAGCACTACCTTGATGGTAAAATTGTGAGTAACATTCCAAGGTTGAGACTTATGAACTAAGTCGACTTTGTCCAGATTGACCCCAAGCGTGCCATCCCTCGACAAGAACACCAACGTGCTACGAAACTTTTCATTGGTGGTCTCGCGGGCAGTGTCACGTCTGAGTCCATGCGCGAATTCTTTTCGCAATTCGGTAAAGTCATCGACTCTACTGTCATGTTGGACCGCGAGACAGGCCGCAGCAAGGGCTTCGGCTTTGTTTCTTTCGAAGACACGAACGTCCAGCCTTTCCTCGGCTTTGGGCACCTTGAGATTGACGGTAAACTGGTAAGCACCTTGATTCTCTGCATTGCGACACAACCGTTCAACACCTCTTCCTTTGCCAGATCGACGTCAAGCTAGCACAACCCCGCTACCAGCGGGATAATTTCCCTAACGAAGATGCAGCTGCAGCCGGCGGCGACATGCCCAGTGCTGTCGGAGGCGCACGATTTAACACCCAAACTCAACAAGGCGGCAACTTCAGCGCTGCTGGCGTCGGTGGTGGGGCCGGCAACACACCCTTCGACCCACAGGCCCTCGCCGCGCTCTACACTCGCATGTTCCAAATGTCAGGCGCGGGTATGAACCCCGGCATGATGGGGGGCATGGGCGCCGGCATGAACCCGATGATGGCTGCTGCTGCGGGTATGGGTGGCGCTGGCGGGTTTGGTGGAGGCATGCGCCCTGGTATGGGCATGGCTATGGGTGGGATGGGCGGAATGGGTGGTGGTGGCCAGGGTATGGGTGGTATGGGACGCGGTGGTGGCCAAGGGATGATGAATGCGGGTATGAACGCGAACATCCCGCGTGGCCCGAGAGGTGCACAAGGCGCAGGAGGCCCGCCTGGCGCGATGGGGGCAGCTGGTGTAGGTCCTCAGAGGACCGGCCAGCGCGGCCAGCACAACTTCCACCCATATGCGAGGTAAATTGGTCAGGACTGACGGATGTAGGACTGAATTTTGCTTTAATAACTGTTGTGTTTCGACCCTCTCGCCGGAAATACTTAACCTATACGTAGTAGTTTTATTAGCGTTACTTATTCTCTTCGCAAACCCGTGTATCATACTCCCCAGCTCTTACTGCGTGAATAGAAGAGTGACGAAAACGCCCACCAGGAGGGTGACAATTGGTTTACTTGTATACAAGAGACACCGTGAAATAGAAGGTGTTCGGGCAGGAAGTTAACAGACATGCTCTCTTTCAATGCACACCTAATTTTCTACCCAGTCCCAAGCGGCACAGAACACGGTTTCCGGACTCCGGATCAACCGATCACATGGGATTTGCGCGTCCCATTGGCATTTGGTGGCTGTGTTGTCAATTCTCTTGGAGAGCCGTTCCGAGTCAAAAATGTCGGATCCAACCATACAGCGGCGATAACCACTATCTCATCGACTCTTGTCCGGTATCTCTACGACAGCGATGTTGGCAAAGAGAGCGGAGTCGCGCAAAGTTGTTGGAATTCTTGGTGAGTCTTTGATTACACTGTTCCTACCGATCAAGAAAACCCATCCTTTTTTCAGCGCTGCAAGGAGCATTCGTCGAGCACCAGGCAGCCTTAGAGAAACTAGCTTTTCAGTATCGATTAGAAGTGATACTTGTGAAGACGCCTGAGGAGCTTGCAAGATGCGACGCTTTGGTGATCCCTGGAGGAGGTGAGCACACGACACTCGGGTGATCCGCTCTTCTCAGTCTTTTCACAGAAAGCACGACGATTGCGCTGCTCGCCCGTCTATCTGGCGTCCTGGATCCTCTTAGAGAGTTTGTCAGGACGAAGCCTGTGTGGGGTACATGTGCTGGGGCGATTCTTCTCTCTCAAGCGGTTGAAAATGCGAAGAAGGGCGGCCAGGAACTGTTGGGTGGGATGTCGATTACGACTGCTCGGAATGGATGGGGATCCCAGGTGCATCTCCTCGCTCTTTGATCGAGAGCAGCATTTGCTCACCATACGCAGGTGGAGTCATTTGAGGCTGCCCTGACCGTCGATGGTCTACAGAGCCCAGACGTTCCTTTCACCGGCGTCTTCATCCGTGCACCCGTACGTCTCCACCACTCGGACGACCTATCACCATCGCGCTCATAATAAACACCCAGGTTGTCGTTAAGCTGCACCCTGCACCCGAGGACCCTCCGATCCTGGTCGTCGCGCGTCTATCGCCCCACCTACTCCCGCCTTCGCTCGCCTCCCCGCACCACTCTGACGAGCCGAAGATCTTCGTCGCGCTGCGGCAGGGCAAGCACTTCCTCACGACGTTCCATCCTGAGTTGACTGATGACAATCGGTTTCATGAGTACTTTATTCGGGAATGTGTATTTTCTCAGTGCCGGTGATTCTTGGTGCGTGCAGATAGATGTATAGATGGCGATGTATAGATGGCCACCTGTTTTAGAAGGGTTTGTAAGAGACAAGATTCGCCAAGTCTGCCGCCAGAATGGGGGCATATTCTTTCGCTCTACATGCTCCATTATACAAGGGAGTAGGGTTGCCAATGTCTATTCCTTACAGTGACCCCTTCTGGTCATAGCGTTCGTGTTTCTATACATAATAGGTTTATTTAACTCATATCGCGCTTGATAGACAGAGCATGTAGATTCCCGAGTATGATACAGTTTGAGGGGTTGTGCGCAAATACTTTCACCGCCTTCTTGAAATTGTTGCACAATAGCTGTCTTTCCTCTCCGACGATCTCTTTTCGGTCGTATATGGCAATCCACCTGCCCTTCCTGGCTTTCTCATTTACATGAAACAACTCAAACAAGCTCCTGCGGAGTTTAAACTTCTTTCTTTCGAACCATCACCATTGCGACACCTGAAGACTCCGGAACAATCTCTCAGTTTTTGCTCTGATTCTCACACTTGCTTTCTGGGTGGCTCAAGACTCCAATGCATCTTGACGACTCGAAGACTCGGGCAAGCACACCTACTATCTCCCATCAAAATCCTGGAAGGGGCGTGCGGCCTCCGTCGGGCAACATGTTCAGCCTCTGGTTCGGCGATGCGGGTATGCTTATTTTGCATGCCGGGAACAAATCATTCCGCTTGCCGTCGTGCATCCTGGCTGAGCAGTCCTCGGTGATCCGCAACTTTTTGTTCTACCCAAACCTGGCAACGATCCAAGCGGAGAAGCACACCTGCCCTGCTGGAGGACTGTCAATCACGTTGGACGACCCTGAAGAGGCTGTTGAGCATTTCCTTCGGGCGGTTTATGACTCTGGGTTGGTATTATCAGCAGGTTTATCCGAAGTCATTTGTTCATATGTCTAATGGTTACTTTGTTTCATCGTTATCTGGCGGTAGGTATTTCGAACCCCCGCCCACTCCTGCATTCCTGGACCAGATTCTCGGGATACTTTCACTAGGTGCCAAGTATGACGTCCCGTTCCTCCGCAAACGAGCCTTGAGGCACCTCGAAAGCGGATATCCGTCCACTCTGCAGGCTTACGAGTCGCGGAAATCCCTGTCGACGTTTCCAACCGTGAGGGAGTATGGCCAATCCTACGCAGAACGCTCAGAAGACTTCGATATCGCTGCTACTCTCTCTGTCCTCCAGGTGGCCCACTCTGTGAACGCACGCTGGATTCTGCCCTCAGCATATTATGAGTGCTGCATGTATTCACTCAAGGAGATCCTCACCCACCCAAAGTACCTTGAGCTGGAGGCTTATCTGCGAGACAGGATCATGATTGGCTACACAAATCAGCTTTCCGCTACCCATCACACTGCTGTGTTTTTGTACGAGTCACCTGCGGAAGCCTGCGAGGAGCCCTTCAAGTGTCTAGAAGTCCGGCGTTCATATGCTGAGACTGCAGGTTGGATTAATAACTGCACCAACCCAATTGGAGTCTGGGAACCAGAGGACTGGCTATGCTACCTCGGGGACTGCTGCGACATCTGCATCGCGAAGGCGAAGAAAACTCATGCAGAAGCGAAGGAGGAATTGTGGGAGAGGCTCCCGGACATGTATGGACTTCCAGCTTGGGAGATTCTTTTGGCAGAGCGTCAACACGCTATGGATTAATTTCAATCGCGCAGGTTGGAGTTGCCACCTTAACTGCGTTTTTATAGGGGGACAGCGGGTTGCTGATTATTCTGTGATCTTATTCTCTATCTTCATTGTGTGCTCTTATCACCATTCTGTTCTAAATCGTTGCTATATTTTTCCACCCAGGAAATCATTGCTTTGCCATGTCGTAGTGTCCCGAACTTGCTCCGACTCTTCGACAATGACAATTGTACTATCTTTATGCTGCTTTGATATTCCGAGCTTCAGGAAGACAAACGTGACTGCAATGTTGCGCGACTCCGTGAAGCATTTCTATTCCAGCAGCACCACTTGAACATCTTTATCTCTAGGCATCATCAACAGTTCAGCATCGAAGGCGACCTGGGGAAAACTCGGGCATTAGAAGCGGGGCGGAGAGAATTTATAGTGACCTTTTTCTGTCTTTTCGCAGCACGAAGGGTACCATGTGCTTCCACTGAAACCGATCACCATAAAGCAACGCAACAGAGATACGAGTGGGAGACTTACGTGTGTCTGCTGTTTTGTCGAAGAGAATGCCGTACGAGACGCTACTATGGCCGTCTGTGTTCACAGAGCCGTGGTCCTGAATCGCCTCTGCGACATCACGAAAAAGTCTCCAAAATTAGTTGGTAGAAAAGGTTAAGTACGTACTTTTCAAGATCTCTATTTCGTGAGCGGTGTTCACGGACACTGCAAGAGACAAGAGATGGTCAACACAGCTATTTCAGCTCCAGTTGAGAAATGGTACTCACTGACACTCGATGCTGTTCTGATCTAAAGATCCAATTACAAAGAATTACAATCGATTGAGAGGCTATTGGTGGGAGTTCAAGCCGGATGAGAGCAGTGAAGCCCCTATTTCTGGGTGTTTGGTGGTATTGTTTCCGCTACTCAAAGTTGCGTCACATTTATTCCTTGACCCCGAACTCGAACGTTCAACCACCGCATTCACCTTTCATTGGCCTTCATATCTCAAGTTTGAAACCTGGATACCCTCTTTACGTCCCATTTCGCGCTGGCGGACCTGTGGCCACCTAAATGACCGCGATGGGGTCTTCCGAAATTGATTCCGACTCTCTGCAGGCGGTCAAGAGCTTGAAGTCCAAGTTCGAGCAGCTGGCGGTGCAGACATCTCCTCAGAGGCCAGGCAGCAGTGACTTTTTGGTGCCTTCGAGCCCAAGACCGCGAGCGGTGTCTAGTTCAGTCGTGGATGCACCAGCGGGCCATCTCCGTACCTCGTCTTCGTCGTCGGATTTGCGGGCGCCAGTCAAGAAAGCTCCACCACCACCGCCTCCGCCTCGTGGATCGAAGACACTGAACCCTTCTCCAATACCATCCCCATCTCCGTCACCCCTTATGCGTCCAGTACCAATTCCACCAGTCAAGGCGGAGATAAAGGAGCTTGGTCTGGGGTCGAACGTGTCTAATTTGAAGAGCAAATTGTGAGTAGATTGTCGTTCGAGTTTCCTGTATTTTACGAACATTTCGCAGCGCTCAAAGCCCGACGTCATCGCCAAGTCGGACGCATAGTCCTCGACAAAGTCTCGTTGCTTTCCAGCCCGTTCAAGGGGACGCGAAACCAGTCATTCCACCCCGTCCTAGCACTCTGTTGGGCGTCACCAGTCCAGAAGGTAGCCAGGCGGATTCCGAAGGTGAAAGCAGCACTGAGACCTCGCCGTCGAACATCTCACCTCCTGGGATTACTGCAAGGCGAACAAACGACGAAATCAGCTCGATCCATGTCCTCGGAACTCATTTCGGCGATTCAAGTCAAACCTCATATGATAGTGACGCCAGTCTACCTCCAATGCGACCTACATTACCCTCCATTCCACCTCGCCCTCATGCATTGTTAGGTGTTCCGACGACCGCAAGTCTAGAAGATGCATATACCTTTTCTCAAGATGATGACGCCAATGCACGTTGGACCAACGGTGATAAGAATTCCATTCGTAGTCTCGGAGCTCACTTTCCGGACTCCAGCCAGACATCTTATGACAGCGACGCCAGTATACCTCCGCTACCACGACACCATTCACGACCTACTTTACCTCCAGATTTTAAACCTTCTGTCCCTCCTCGTCCTAATAATCTTTTGGGTATGGCGCAAGCCACAAGCCCTGAAAGCTCTCAAATATTTTCGCGAGAAGACGGGAACGTGGAAACCTCACTTCCTCCTCCTATCCCCGCACGGCGAACCAACGGGGACAGCGGTTCAATTCGAAGTCTTGGTTCCGTGTCTTTCGAAAGTGACGTCAGTTTATCGTCCTCACGGTCCAATTTAATGCCTCCTCCGCCACCACCTCCTCGAACTCGTCCTTCCGTGTCTCCTGAGCCACCCCTCGCGTCAATATCTTCTCTGAGCTCTAGATTTGCATCACCTCCACCACCCCTTCCGATCCGTAGGAACACGATGGCAACTTCAGACTTTGCCGCGCTATCTCCTCCACCCCCTCTACCTGTCAGGACGAATGGAGCGAACGGAACAGAACCGATCGTCAATGAGCGAAAGCCGCTTGGTACAAGCAAATTACCGCCGCCACCGACACGGACAATAGCACTGGGGGACAAATTGCCTCCTGCTCGACGCCCGTCAACGCCATCTTCAGACGAAGAGTCTGGCGATGAAGAGGAACCGAAAATGCAGACCGTCGACACGATGCCCGACAGTAGTGCCGCATCACGATGGCCGCCTGTGCTCCGTTTCCGAGATGGATACTCAGAGCCAAAGCTACACGTGCATCCGCACAGTGGTTGTGTCGCCATGTCGGGATCGTACCTCGTCGTTGGACACAATCATCATCTGAAGATATACGACCTCTCCCTGTCAGAAGTTCCGATCCACAATCTTGATACGAGAGCCTTAGGCATCAAGGACTCGAAAGTAACTTGCATGGAGTTTCGTCCCTGCGCGTCGGAGGCAGATCGTGGGTTCTTGTTGTGGGCTGGGACGAAAGAAGGACATCTATTTGAAATTGACATCCGGGCAGGCGTTGTTCGCGCCACGAAATATGCCGCTCATCTGCACCCCGTCACCTACCTATTTCGACATGCGCGTTCAATGCTTTCGCTTGACGAGTCGGGAAAGATTCTCATTTTCTCTCCAGACGTGGGCAACCTCGAGGACGTCAGTCTACTCACGACAGTGCCGCGTGTCCTTCGGACGACAGACAAACAAGACTTCGTGAAGATGATCAATGGGAAGCTCTGGACTGCCGCGAGGGTGGAACATCATGGTACAGCTGCAGCACCAACACAGAGAATGCCCATCATCCGCATATATGACGTCTTCAACCCTGCAAGCACTGGTCGGTCAGTGATGCCCAATGAACACGTCGGGCCTGTGACGTCAGCGACGATTATTCCCTCACTGCCTGGTATGGTATATGTCGGGCACGAGGAGGGTTATGTGTCGCTGTGGGAGCTGGAGACGGACGACGGGTATCCGCGCTGTGTTGAGGTGATGAAGGTGTCAACGTCTGACGTGCTCAGCCTGGAAGGTGTCAACAACCGTTTGTGGGCTGGGAGCAGGAATGGGATGGTCTCCGCATATGATGTTACCCAACGGCCATGGCTGGTGACGAATTGCTGGAACGCGCACCCTGGGCTACCGGTTATGAAGTTGATTGTTAATTACTATGCCATCGTCAAGGTTGGCAGATTGTGTGTGGCGAGCATTGGGCGAGACGAGCAGATCAGACTCTGGGATGGGTTGCTGGGTTTGGACTGGATTGGTGCGTTTTTTTTTACGCTTACAACGATGCACTGCTGACGTTCTTCTAGACAAGGAGCTACTCAAACGCGAGACATCATTCAGCACATTTCGCGACCTATCTATTCTAGTGGCTTCCTGGAACTGCGACTCTGCTCGACCAGATTCCCTAACCGGAGAGTCAGAAAACTTCAACCTCTTCAACGATATCCTGCTCAGCGTCGACAAGGCACCAGATGTCATCGTATTCGGATTCCAGGAGGTTATCGACTTGGAGAGCCGGAAGATGGCTGCTAAGAATGTCCTACTCGGTGGCAAGAAGAAGCCAGATGATGGCCTCTCCGAGAAAGTTACTGGCGCATACAAGAGGTGGTATGATCGGCTTGTCCTCGCGGTCAAGGCTGCCATGCCTAGGGACGTCGGGTACTGCGTCGTCCACACCGAGAATCTCGTTGGGTTGTTCAGCTGTATCTTCGTGAAGAATACAGAGAGGGTTACGTTTGACGATGTGGCAGTAACGACTATCAAACGAGGGATGGGTGGGCGGTACGGTAATAAGGTATGTCAAGCTTCTTCACAATCTAGCTGGTCAACTTTATTTACTTTTTTATAGGGTGGCATCGTCGCTCGCTTTATCGTTGGCGATTCTTCAATCTGCTTCATCAATTGCCATCTCGCTGCTGGTCAGAATGGAGTTCGGCAACGCAATGCCGACATTGCAGGGATGCTTGAGGAGAAAGCCGTATTCTCTCCTTCCACAAATACCTTGGCCTATATTCGCGGAGGTGATGGGTCAATGGTTCTGGATCATGAGTTCGTCATCGTATGTCTTTTCTCTTCGGTCTGTATGTTCTATTTTGGTTGACATCATCTTTCATCACGTAGTTGAATGGTGACATGAACTATCGCATCGACTATCGGAGAGATTTGATCATGCAAGCCACCCGTAATGGAGATTATGCCTCTCTCAGTCAACATGACCAGCTGCTTCGCGAGATCAAGTTCAATCGGGGATGTCGACTGCGCGGGTTCGCAGAAGGCACTCTCAATTTCGCTCCAACGTACAAATACGACCGACACTCGAATGAATACGATACCTCGGAGAAACGCCGCCTGCCTGCCTGGTGCGATCGTGTTCTCTGGCGGTCGAGAGTTCCCAGTCGCGTCAGGCAGATACATTATCGCCGTTATGAGGCAAACGTGTCTGACCATCGACCAATCTCGGCGGCGTTCTCGGTGACGGTAAAGAAGTTCGACAATGAGGCGAGAGAGAGGGCAAAGGCTGAACTTCAGGTCCAGTGGGTGGACGTTCAACAGCAGCTGTTAAATGCTGCTATGATGTTCTACGTCAAGCAGGCCTTGCTTTAGCTGGCTCGACCAGTCCCAACTTTCTAATTTTTTATACCATGGGCGTTCCTCGGCCATGACGACCATGCGATGCCCACACATTATATGACCATTCATCACTAGCATCTGTACACCGCATTTTTTCATGAACATTCAGCATTTCATTTTTGGGAACTCGGCACATTATCTGAGGACCCTGTCTTTGTATTTCTCGAACTATACGCCACAACATACTACAACCTGTAGGTAATAATGCGCGACTTTGCAAACATCTCTGTTGCATACGTGCTTTGAAATAGTACTGGACTGCCAAGCTTTGGCGCTTGTTGGTTGCAGCGTTGCGCCTCGAGACCTGATGAGACGAACATGTTTCAAGCAACTTAAGTGGGGATGCCTTTGAAACATTATTGACCGTGGGAACGATGCTTCTAATGATCTTGCACTTGTCAGTCTCCCATGCACCCTGTCAATCTGAAATCAAACCTTAGGCTTCATCTTCACCTCGATGCCCAGAGGCTAGAGCGCTTCACTCATTTACAACTATCTTATCCCAAGTCCCATTGTACGGTTCTCGAACATGGCCAACAACCCTCCAATACCTCCTCCGTTAATCAGCGTGCCCCGGATTACAACTCTCATTGCGTCGTTGGTCGTAGCTTTGAGTTCGGGGACGAACTATGTGAGGGAATATCGCCTGATTTAATCTGCACCATGATTTAATCACTATTACAGGTCTATTCAGGTAAGATGATGTTCTCAGAGTTGATTCGAGTTCGCAAGCTGCGGCACCGGCCGGCACCTGCAAACCTCGCCAGGCCACGGAGCTAACAAATTCGACGTGGACGCTGATGAATTTTGAACAGCGTATGCTCCACAGCTTGGTGCTAGGCTGGGTATATCGCACACTAAGCTGAACGTGGTCGGTTTGGCAGGAAATGGTATGCATACAATTACTTCGTCCGTACGCTTTGGCTTATTTCGCCTGCAGTGGGAGTGTACAGCAGTGGCCCAATATGGGGAAGGATCGTCGACACGAGAGGTCCTCGTATCCTGCTTGCTTTTGCGTTCGTTTTCCTGCTGGGAGGATACTCTGGGATGCGACATCTCTACGAGCAAGGTCTTCCAAAAGGGATCATGACCTTGTCAACGACTGCATTTGTAGCTTTGGCTACTTTCAGCTTTCTGACCGGTGCTGGAGGAAATGGGGGTCTGACGAGTGCCGTCAATTCGACCGCGAAGACGTTTCCTGACAAGGCGGTTCGTATTATCAATGAAAGTGGATATATGCGCCCTAATAAAATGTTCAGAGGGCATCCACTACCGGCCTGGTCATATCTGGCTTTGGACTTTCGGCTTTTTTCTTCTCCACCATCTCCCGTATGTTTTTCGCGGGCAATACATCCTTTTTCCTTCTTGTCCTCGCGGTTGGCACGTCATTTCCTATGATCATGGGGTTTTTCCTCGTCCGTCCTATCCCGCTACCCGCCCAAGAAGGCTACGACATTGTAGAAGACGCTGAAGCTGCCGAAGAAGAGTATGACGCGCGGACAACAGGCCTGGCACAACCCAACGCGAGTGTCGCCCATCTCCTTGATCACGACTTCATCGAGCCACGTCACCCGCACTATGTCCACCATGTAGACTATGCACAAGATGGTGATTCACATATTCCTCTCACGGAGGAACCTCAGCTGAATGCAACGACAAATCCAGAGGACAGCGGACAGGCACCGGTTCCAGCCGAGCGTCCTCGGAGTTTGAGTCGTGGTTCTGCAATGGCCGCCGGTATTCTTCCAAATGTCTATGGTAAGAAGCTCTGGAGGAGTGGTGATTTTTGGTTGCTCTGTAGCATCCTTTCGATGTGTGAGTGTCCCCGTCGTCATTCTGCTCAAGCTGACATCTTCAATTCAGTAAGTGGCACGGGCCTAATGTGTACGTCGTCGTGCTAGGTGCCCGTTGTTTTCTTGACTAGTTGCGCAGATATCAACAATGTCGGATCGATGTCCCAAGCTCTATATGCCCACAAAGAGCCTCATTACGATGACGTGGTCGCTGCTGGATGGCAAGCGACCCAGGTTTCTACAATCAGTTTGACGAACTTCCTGGGACGAATATTTATCGGTAAATAAATTACCGTACTTCTTGGACGTTTATCTTCTTATGACTTCATATTTAGGCCTGGTATCCGACTTCGCGAAGAACAAATTCAATATGCCTCGCTCTTATTGCCTTGTCATCGTTGCCACATTTTTCTTCGTTTCGCAGCTGGCGACTGCCAATATCGATCGCATCGCACATTTATGGATAGCGAGTGCATTGTTGGGTCTGGCGCATGGCAGCGTCTTCTCGCTATTTCCTACTGTATGCCTCGAATGGTTTGGAATGCGTGAGTTTCGCGGTTCTCAAAGGTCAATCACTTTATGTATGGTTCTTACAGCTCACTTTTCCGAAAATTGGGGATATCTCTCCATGTCGCCCATGGTTGCTGGGAATCTCTTCTCCTTGTTCTTCGGGAGAAATCTAGATGCTCATGAGAACGCCGCAAAGCATAAAGCTACTCCTCTCAAGCCAGGCAAAGTGTCCGCTCCTCCTCAATGTCTACAGGGACTGGAGTGCTACGTCACCACGATATATTTGACGATGGCCGCGACATTATTGTCTATTCTCCTCAGCGTCCTTGCCGCCTACAGGGATAAGAAGAAGATAGATGCGGCTAAGAGGAAGAGAGTCGCAAGTGCTCGGGCAGAAGTCTTTTGGGAGGCTGATGAAAGAGGGATATGATCTAATATTTCGTCTAGATGCCGTTTTTAGCAGAATTCCCTTGGACAGTCATGTACAGTAGTACACTAATATGCTCCAGTACACATAGCTTCATGCTGTACAGGATTATCAGAGCAGAATAGACTATAATTGCTTATCACTGGACCAAGATGACTGACGCTGTCAGTATTTGGTTTCCGAGTTGTATCGTGCACCCATGCAAAAGTTGTACAGACCCTCACCCTGAATGGTGACGAGAATTTCAACGGCGTCCTTGCCTAAATATCTTGTCCCTTGTCTATAATACGAATCCTCAGAGAACTGGAAATTGGCATTTGACTGGCATACTTATACTTACCCTCCAACTCGTGGGAATCGCGAGATCAATTGCCAAAAGTCACACCTGTCACAGTCTCGCCATCGTCACGAACATCCAGCCGGTAGGTTCGAAAATGTGAAGGCGACAAAATGCATTCTTTCCTTCGAACCCCCCACCACAGACCTCGAAAACAGGATGCTACAACGATCTTTGCTGCCTGAGACAGTCTCCGGGCTTTTTTACAACCTTTTCCACAATATTTTGGTTGTTCCGTTCTCCCCTTTGACATCGCTAGTCTAACTTCTGGATCTTGGTGCCGTGGGGGGCATTTGGGGCAAGGAGGAGGACGGGAAATGAGGTGAGGGGATGGAAGCATGGTACACGAGGGGACAACAATGACAAACAAACACAGCCACATTTGTTTGCACAATGGGCTTCCTTCCACATCGCATTGGACGACGACAAAGACCTTCCACGACGACGGCAGCGGGCTACAGCATTGAAGACCAACACTCTATCGAGGCCGCTCACTCTCGCTGTGGTCAGCAGGCCACCCTTTCATGCACGAACCCGAGTCGACAAATTTGGTCGACAGCCCCACTGCATTTCACGACAACCACCCTTTACGCATCAAGCTACCCGCATTGACTATCATGAATCTTCGACGCTCGACCCGGCGCACGTCGAGCATAGCCTCTGGATCAGAGTACCATGCCAGCGAGAAATCTGTCGACATGGATGCACCCAACGAACCTGAAGAGGAGGACGAGACAGAGAAGCCAGTCTTCGGGCAAACCAGATCCGGAAGGAGGATAGTCAAGAAGACTTATGTCGAGAGTACCGAGGGAGAAGATGACGAAATCGTCCAGAATACCGCTTCCACCAGGGCGAAGCGGCCACGCCACGACGATGCAGACGATGAAGACGAGGACGAAGCACCACCCCGGCGTTCAAATCGAACTCACAAGTTGAATGGCTTCGTGATTAGTGATGAGGACGACAAGTCGCCCAATGGGACTTACGGAACACGACGCTTGCGACCGAGGCCCGCCAAAACCTCTCAGCCACCCCCGCCTTCAGAACTTACTGCTGAGGAGAAGAAGAGGAGGCAAGAGGCACAGCGAGCCCAGCGTGCCGCGAGACGCCACCAAAGTCGTGCCCCTCAGCCAGGAGAGGAAGATTTCCACCCTGACCACACCTCATCTGGCGCGTCTGCTGATGGGGATGGGTCTTTCGATGAGGCACCCCACACCTCTTCCGACCTGGAACCCCCACCAGAGCCTGAGCCCGAGCCGGAAGAGGCGGACGACCAAGACGATGGAAGGCCCTATGCGCTGAGACAAAGGCAAAAGGTGAACTACGCTATTCCGCCTCCCCTCGAAGAGCTGCCACCACCGCCGAAGAATGGAGGACGGAGTAATGGTAGGAATGGCCGCGGTGGCGGTCCGGGGAAGAGCAAAGGACGTGGACTAGGCTGGAGTGCAAGTGGTGCTGAACTTGGAAGGTGGATGGGCATGGGCGACGATTCCGTACGTGTGTGTTCCTCCCGCGATCCCATTTCTCTGATTGTCGTCCAGGATTCGGATTATCCGACGAGGACTCCTCGGAAAGGCTTTGGGGGAATGAATCCATTCGGTGCTGTTCCTGCGGGTGGAATGATGCCCGGAGACCTTGCTGCTGCAGGCACACCTTCGAACCTTGGAAAAATCGGCGATGCAGGTGCGCTTCTTCGTTGTTTCTTTCTCATTATCAGCCTAACCACGTAGTTTAGCTCTTGCCGACGCTGACCCACTTGGCGTAAATCAGAATGTGACTTTCGACGAAGTAGGTGGATTGGACGATCGTGAGTTTTTCTGTGTTTCCGTGGGTGTTCAGTCGATTGACTATCGCGCAGATATCCATGCCCTGAAGGAGATGACTCTGCTTCCCCTGTTGTACCCAGAAGTCTTCCAAAGATTCAACGTCACACCGCCACGAGGTGTGCTGTTCCATGGTCCTCCCGGAACCGGTAAAACTCTGTTAGCACGAGCACTAGCGGCGAGCTGTAGGACGGGCGGAAAGCAGATCTGTGCGTCGTTCATACTACTGCTGTTGCTTCTCAACCTAAATCCAAATTTTGAACAGCCTTCTTCATGCGTAAAGGGGCGGACTGCTTATCCAAGTGGGTCGGAGAGGCTGAGCGTCAACTCCGTCTTCTCTTCGAAGAAGCGAAGAACTCGCAGCCCTCGATCATCTTCTTTGACGAGATCGACGGTTTGGCGCCTGTTCGATCGTCTAAGCAAGACCAGATCCATGCATCGATTGTCAGCACTTTACTCGCCCTGATGGACGGCATGGACGGGCGAGGGCAGGTCGTCGTCATTGGTGCGACAAACAGACCCGACGCCGTCGATCCTGCCCTTCGAAGACCTGGTCGCTTCGATCGGGAATTTTACTTCGGGTTACCCTCTTTGGAGGCGAGAGAGAAGATTTTGAGTATCATGACGAGGAAGTGGGAAGGATGGGGCGCTTCCGAAGAGGATAAGATGGAAGAGGAGGAGAAAGAAATCAAGGAGAGGGTTCAAGGGCTGGCCAAGCTTACAAAGGGTTACGGAGGTGCTGATCTGAGGGTGGGCCTTGCTTTATTGCTGTTTGCGCTCAAGCTGACCTCGTATCTTCACCGCAGGCGCTGTGCACTGAAGCAGCTCTGAACGCTATTCAGAGAAGATACCCACAGGTGTACAAGAGCAATGATCGTCTACTCCTGAAGCCCGAAACGATTGGCGTGGGTCTCCGTGACTTCATGATTTCCATCAAAAGTTGGTTCTACTTCGTCGGCTCTGGCATAAGGATAGGTGCTTACATAGTTCATTTCAGAGCTAGTGCCATCTTCTGCTCGTTCGTCCTCTTCTGCAGCCACGCCTCTACCAAGTCAGTTTGTGCCGTTGTTGGATGGCACGTTGGACAAGGTCAAGGAGGTCATCCAACGCGTGATGCCAGTGGAAAAGCGACTGACCGCATTGGAAGAGGCTGAGTTCGAAGATGAGGGTGGAGAAGAAGGTGCTCTAGAAAGGGAGATGTTTTCTCAAGGTTAGTTTCATGCGGCATCCGTGCCGATCACGCCGAACCTCATTGTTATCTTTGTCTGCTGTTAGCCATGCAGAAACTGCGAGTGTACAGGCCACGTATTATCATTCATGGTCCTGTTGGCATGGGACAAGGTTATGTTGGCGCTGCTGCCCTGCATCATTTGGAAGGTTATCATGTTCAAAGTCTTGAGCTTGGGACCCTGATGGGAGACTCTACTCGTGTAAGTCATTCATAGCTTCTGGCTAGTAATCATATCTAACCGCATTCCTCTATTTAGACTGCTGAAGCAGCCATCGTCCAATTGTTTGTTGAGGCGAAGCGAAATCAACCTTCTGTGATCTACATACCTTCTCTTGTGGGCTGGTGTGCAGCTGTATCGGAGACGTCTCGGTCCACGGTTCGCGCTATGCTTGATACCCTTGCGCCTACAGATCCTATCCTCCTCCTTGCCGTCGTCGACGGACGATTCGCAGATCTTCCTCGAGATGTGAAGGCGTGGTTTGGTCCAACGAAGGATAACAGGGTCGAACTCATATCGCCGAGTGCATCACAACGCGAGGCATACTTTGAAGGCCTTCTCAAAGACGTCCAACGCCCGCCGAATCAATTCGCGGATGGTATGCAGCGAAGAAAGAGGATACTGGAGGACCTACCAATTGCCCCACCTATTGAGCCTAGAAAGCCTACTGCGGCGGAGCTTGCTTTGCAGGAGGAGAACGATCAGAAAACGATCACTCTTCTGAAGTATAGGCTTGGGCCTATATTGACAGAGCTAAAGAGGAAGTTCAAGAGATTTACGAAGCGAGCAACGGTCAGTCTTCGCATTTTATATCGTCTCTTGAGTTGGTCTAAGATTTCTCGTTTATAGGAAGAGTATAATTTCGAGGCACAGGATGTCAATATGAATGGGATGGATACGGTGTCCACTACTGCCATCGAAGTTCATCAAGGCCCAAATGCGGTCATCGACATCACAGGTGATCAACCAATCCAACTCGTCAATGGGACGCAGGATGTACCGATGAACGGCATCGTCATGGAACAGCAGCAAATTATGCGGCAGCTTCCTCCACTCTTTGATATGGACCTGGAAAGGATGCAAGCCGAATTATTCAAGGGACGTTACCTTACACCTCAGGACTTCCTGGACGACGTTGGCAAGATGGTACATAATGCCGACGTTAGATCTTATGAGGATCCAGAGCGGCTTTACAGAGCGCAGGCCATGTTCACTGCGACCCAGGTCAGCATTCAGGAATTCGATCCACAGTTGAGGCTCGAATGCGAGAGGATGGCTGTCCGCGAAAGGCAGAGGAGAGAGGAACGGAAGAAGGAGAAGGATAAGAACAAGGGCAAGGATAAAGAGCAGGACGGCAACGCTGTTGCTCTTGGCACAAGGAGAAGTGCACGGAACAATGGCCTTCAGCCAGAGCATCCTATAACTGATCCAGTCAAACTGGAACGCCGGTTGAAGAGGCAACGAGGTGAAGAAGGAACGTCAGGCGACTCTCATGGGTCTGAAGGAGAGGCTCATACTGTGGATATCGTCGAGGGCGGTCGCGATGCTAAACGGTCGAGGGTCATTGATGAGCACGATGACGATCGTGACCCATTAGACACTCTCGGACGAACGCCGGTTTCAGAGATTCGACATATTGTTCGATTTGCGCCTCAACCCGCAGAGCCTCTGCCACCTCTCCTGGAAGTGCCCGAAATACAATATCCAATGCTGCCACAACACCAGCATCCCATCCCCATCGACCCGTCACTCCAAGAGCCTCATCACTTCTTCCCTCAGCCACATTTTGACCAACGCATGGTTGTGGATGAGTCTCCACGTCGTGGCCCTGGATTTGATCCTTCCTTGTTGAATCCTATACAACCTTCAGAAAATATGTTCCATCAACCATCGATGTTTGCTCCGAGACCGAACGACAGCCCGTTCAATTTCCCCCAAGTTGGCGGGTACGACCCTTCTGACCCTTTCATGTCTTCACCCCATCCCCAGCATCCTTATAACCAACCACCTCAGCCACTGACATTCACCCAGATGCTCGCAAACACGCCAACGCCACCTCCGCGGACAATGTCAATGTCGCGTAGTCCAGCTCCACAACTACCACGTCAGCTCTCTAGACAACCTTCTAGACAACCCTCTAGGCAGCCAACGCCGCTTCCTGGTCCCTCTACATCACCTGCTGAGCCTGCCCCGATGGTTGTGGAACGCAGCCCGACACCTCCTTTGCCCGACTTCATTGTCTCGAATTTTTTGGTCTCCGACCTGCGTCAGCTCCTTGTTGAGAAGACGGCTGGGTTAACCATCGAACAGCTCGAGCAGCTGCGAGCGACGTGCCTCGGTTGTATATGGCGTCATCGAAAGGAGTGGGAGCGGGATGACTTGGTTCGAGAATTGATCAGGGATGTAAACGACTTCGTGGACGAGGTACGGGAGCAAGAAGATGCTTCTGATGCATGACGATAGAGCTTTGTCGTTCACTTTTTTATTTCAAGTAAAAAAGATATAATTTTTCTGGACTTTGGTTTATTCCTTTCACTTTGGGTTCGGCCTTTTTGCCCTTATTGCTATTCCCTTCGTTTCTTTTGACTCTGTACTACGACCTGTGCCACTAACTGCCATGTATTACACAACTGCATTGCTTCTCCACACCCATAGTATTTTAGATACATCCAATGGCACCGATTATCCTGAAAAATATCCAGCTTGCTAGTCCGAGCGCAGATTTCGAATCATGGAGGCTCAGATTTGGATCCTCCTCAAGGGTATCTAGTTTTCTTAGATCTGTTCTTCACAGCATCATTATCCTTTTTTGTCCTTCTTGCCAACCTACCTCTAATCTCCTCCAGCTAGGGTACTGGCGCTACTCGAAGTTCGGCTTGAAAGACTACATGCGGCGATGCGTCCGGTTCACGTGAATCCGAGAAAGCTCTGCCTTCAGGTAGATTCGAATGTCCTCGTCGGCGCCGACAGTGGAAGAGTGGTTGAGCTCTGTCGGAAAAATCGAATTTCCCATATATGATCATATACGGAAATATAAGGACCTGTTAGGACGTCAGATGATCGGGAATCATATCGACGGTGAAAAGTCACCCATCCATGTGTGCAAGCATTATCGAACTTATAGTTCTGACACCCTACTTAGGCCTGATCTTGTCTGCATGGCTGTTCAGGCCTTCTCCGGTGTTATAATGGCAAATAGGTGTCTTCAGAAAAACCTACAAATACTGGCCACAAAAATCATATTCGGGGACCCTGAAGCTTGTCCTATCCAAAATAAGGGAATTAAAAATGATTTTCATTTTCTACTCTAGGAGAATTACATGCCCCGCCTTCGGACTTTACATTTCCGTTGTACAAACAAAAGAAGCCGACATTTCGAGCTCGAGGGAACAGCCGATCGCGGTACAGCAGTCTTGAATGAAGTTAGCTCAAATTCATTGCGCTAACAGAACCTTACCAGTTACCATTCGTGTAGAGAGGTGAGCCAGCCACCCTTTCCGTCAAAGTCAGCTGCAGCTTTCTAGCGCATGTAAAGACGGACGCACGACGTTCGCAGAGTCAGTGCCCCTGGCCCCGCATGTTACCTGTTTCTCACAGCTGATGCCTTAGAGAAAAGAAGAGTTCCTAGTTGTGCTAGTCAGTGTTGAAATACAGAGACGTACAAGGTGCGCACCGAGTATAAGACACCCTGCTGAGTGAAGTCCAGCTAGGTCAGCAGGGGATACATGAATGGGGTAGGACGCACCGTCAGACAGAAGGCAGGTAGCGCCGACGTTCATCCAATCTCGAATTCGGTCAGCCAGAAGGAATTGCGCTGGAATGAGACGACGAAAGCCCGTTTTTATATCCCTTTCACACCTGGACCTCGGCGCCTAGATATCGCCCCGAGACTAATCTCCGACTCGGAATTCACAAGCTTAACCGACTGCCGGAGGGATGTGGGCGCTTCGAGGCACTAATTCTGGATCCTAATTCGACTCCGAGATGTGTAAGTATGCTGACGAGACTTTCCCCTTCGTCCAGGTCTATGGTCCACGGCCACGGAGGTTCAGACTTTTGGGAAGCTCTCATGCCCTAGGATATGCTCAGAACTTCAAGTCCGCTCACGAGCTGAATAAATGGACACTCGCCTTAGTCGAAATGAAAACACTTTGAAGATGATTCAGTGTTTCGAGAGGGTGAGAGGTATCTTCTTTTGAATGCCTTCTTCGAAAACTAGGGCCTTTCGAGGTGAAATGATCAGATGTGATAAGGACTTACCAGAGGTTACGGATTTCTGACGCTCCGCTTACAGGCGTCTATCATAGATTATCAGCATCTCCACGCCAGCGTATCAGCGGGGCCAGGGGTGCCAGGAGCCGCAAGGCCTTATAATGGAAATCGCGTTTTTCCGACATCGTACCGGGTTGTGATAGACTTTAGGGGATCTTCGTCAAAGACGTCTTGGATCCAGGTTTCTGGTCGATTGGCGATGATGAAGCACACTGGGAGCTGCTTAGTTGCATTGGTGATTAAATCTAGGATTTCTGTTTAAGTGTTCTCGTCACTGCATTCATCCAGACCGTCTATAATAATGGCCATCGGCCACGGTATACTATCGAGCATAGGCCCTAATAGGGCTTGAACGGATCGACAATTAGCTTCTGTAGCTGGACATCGATGTATTTGTCGATAATGGATGGGTCCTGTCGCACAGTTTCCTCGATAAGTGGCGCGATTCCAACCACCGATTGCGTGCATGGTTTCTTCCCGGAGTCGTCCTCGAGAAGAAGTACGTAGCGGCTAGTAGCCTTAGCCTCTCTAAGATTTCTGCAATCGTTTGTGCGATGGCTGATTTTCCGACGCCTGCTGGGCCATATGTATAGGCACAGAACATTGGTAGATCGGTCGATATTCGCCACCCATTCGAGGATCGAGTTGATGATGGCGGTTCGGGTCTGCGGATGACACCTCGGTGGTGGGTAGCGTTCTGCAGAGTCATGAGAAGCGCCGGCCAATGTGGTTCGCTTGAGAAGCTCTAAGCCTTAACCAGTTGTTGTGTTGTAAATACCGCTGGAGCCAAGGAAATTGTGTTGGATGAAATTGCCGCCTGTGATGAGTACCTGACTTTCACCTTGGAACGAGAACATGGGGGCATCCACGACATAGGCAGCCACGTTCCACTCCTAAAGGCTCGCGTCCGATTCCGAAGTTCAGATTTTTGGAAAGGACGAGGTTACTGAGCAACTACTACGTGGCTGTGGATATCCATTATCTTATCTTATCTTTTGAGGGCTCAATAAGCGCCCGCACTAGACCAACTACTTAATCGTGTCCATGAGGAGACGGTCAGAAGAGAAGCATCTGTTGAGCCTTCCAAATAGAAAAAGTAATAAAGGAGGGTATACACGAAGGAACTGGATTTTATGAAGATGAACTTTGTTCTGCTGATCCTGGCCAAATGATCTTTGCAACCTCACCGCTAGTTAAGTCGGGCTGATCTGACGTAAGATGGTTCCGAGTGATCTGGGGCAGAAAGTCCATTATAAGTACTTTTGAATTCTTGATTTGAAAACGACTTGCCTCTAGGAGAGAAGCCGTTCTGGCTCCGGCCATTTCCTGCTGGTCAGCAAGTGCCTTCATGATGTTCGCCCATGTTTCTTCTCCAGTCTTCCCTTCTCTTTCATTCATCGGTGCAGCAGCCAGCCAGCGGCCGGCGAAGCCTGGTGTGGAACGATCCTCTCCACCTCCCAACTGACACAACCTGATCCTTCTTCCCGCTCCCAGCAATTGGGCACAGGACCCAATCCGCATACTGTCCGATATGGCATCTGACTCTTCGCTTATACCCAGTCCTTCGAATAGAGAGGACCATGTGTAGTACGAATAGCCGTACCCAAGCGAAAAGAGACGGGCGCCGCCTAATGAGCAGCTTATCCAAGTGTTGTCGTAGCACTCTCCTTCGACCTTTTCTCCGTCCTCTGGCTGCGCATCAAACGCAGGGTCAAGAAGGTATAGTTCAGTCCAGTAGTAGGTTTGTTCGCGGATGTCTTCGGTCCACCTACGTGCCTTGGCGACATCAAAGATACCGTGTCATACATCGTCAAATGCAGCGGGATTGGACTCCCAGTTCATCGTCCAGACGAACTGGGATAGCATATCTTTGGGATTCTCGGTGTGCGGGATCCCGGGAACGGCATTGACGGTTCGGCCAGCGAGGAGATCAGTTATGCGGGATGCAATTCTTTCTCGAGATAGAGGGTCTGCGCCAACAGCCTCCACCCAAGGATTAACCCAATCGCGTCGGTGCGTGTCGTAGATTGACTTGGAAGTGGTCGTAGAATTTAGGTGAGAGATGGGTCTTGAGTAAGGGATCGCTTGACCTGATGGCAAAGGACAAAGCTGGTGGGCTTCAATAACTCTGCGGACTGCGGAAGAAGGACCAAATCTCCTGGATGTCAACGGCACTCTTGTTCTTCCTGCAAAACCGGTACGAAACATCTAACCTGTGGGTTAACAGAAACACGTCAATGTTCAAGTTCCAATGGCCGAGTCAACGCTTTTGTACGTCAGAGGCTTACGATGTGTGGGAATCAGGTTGAAACGTTGATCCGTACACTAACAGTGCTCCTGGAAAAAGCGGTGTTCGGCCATGGTAACGATGCCGGTATACTCATGTTACTATTCATACTATTACTAGTACTACCATTACGGGGATACTTGGGGGTAACAGCAAGCCGACGTACTGCTTATCTTTCATGCAACTTTCATGTGTGTCCGCCAAGTGAACGCCCATCCACTAGGGCTGCCAACCGAACCCGTGTGTGACGGGAGACGGCAGCCGACACACGGCACGGGTAGCCGAACCGGAACCATTCCTGAGCTGCCCTCACCCGGAACGGCTGGACCATTCATGTCGCCCGTGCAAGCCGTGCATGAGCGGCCGGTGGAACCCGTCGACGGAAAGCCGGGTTTAGGATAATCTTACTCCTTTCTATGTACAATAATATGGCTAGTGATTGGTAGGATAGTCGTGTATAGCTATAGGTAGATAAATATGAATAAAACACAACATTTAATATCCATCAAGAGTGAATATTCTGAGGGTGCAACACAAATTCAGAGGTCACAGTTGTGCTGGTCAAGTCCTGGATGTACGGGGCTTGCGTGAGCGAATGGCCAGGTGTGATGCGAGGCGTGCAAGAGCGTGTGACGAGCGCTAAATGGGATACAACTCCCGAGAAACCGATGTTTGAGCGATGAGGCCACGTTGCCTTCAAGAACGACGCAATGAGTACGAGGGGTGACGAGGACGAGAACGAGAACGAGAACGAGAACGAGGGGTGAAGAAAGGTCGGGAGGCTTCCTGTCACTACGCCGGGCCAATCCACTGGCCCAGAGTTGACTGATGGGCGCTTGATGCATCGGTCGTGGCGGGCTCTGCTCTGTGGGTGACGGATGGCCTATTTCTGGAACTGTGAAGCGTTTATGACAAGCATCCAAACAAGTTGAGTTCAAAATTTTATTATCCAACGTCCCACCATGCCAAAGGCACACATACTGGTCGTACATTTACGCGCCGAGGGAGGTGTTGGGTACTTAATGCTACCGGGTTGGAGGACGGCCGTACACGGCCGTGTTTATTCCCGACCCGACCCGACGGCACAAACCTTTCCTCGAGACCCGGCCGGTGCTCACCCATTTGAGCCCGACCTTCAGCCGTTCTTGGACGGCCGTCACCGTACCCGGCACGGTTGGCAGACCTACCATCCACGAAGACAGCCTTCCGAGTCTAAATTAGCTGTTGGTGTTGAAGCTCGCGTTCATGTTGATGCAAAGCTGAAAGGATGATGGCCGTTCCAGCTGCTATTGGTGGCTATATTAGCTATCGGCGCCATTTCCATCAATTTAACATGGAACCATGATATATGGACCCACTCGCATGGCGATGCCTTTCATTTTTGTCGTCCCTCAGTAGGATGATAGAAGGGAAAGAACGACCAACTTGAAACGAGACCATTCGAGCAGCTGGTCTGCCCAACGCAAGTTGTAGCTGGTCTAAGCAACCGCTTCAAATTTCTGACAACCTCAAGAAACCCAATTCCAACGTCTGACCGTTGACATTATGCACATCCTCGCTCTTTTCATATCCCTCATCGCCGTGGTAACTTCATCGTGCATTGCAGCACCCATACCAATTCATGTATGTCTTTACTTTCAATTTATCTTCCAGATTAAATAAACGGACTTCCGTATTCTCCAGACCCAAGATGGCTCGCGGTGTTTTCAGACCGATCGCTTTGAGCGTAGGGACAGCACGGTTCAGTTGTCCAAGCGCTCAGGCAAACCTCCGCCAAACCACTTTGGGCCTGGGATTCAACACAAGAACAGTACGTCCATTATTCTTCTGACGAGAGATTTCCAGTCTCTTACAAAGCCCATTAAATGATGATCCTGCTAGAACATAAAGTAATCAGCACGACTGGATTTCATCCTGTCCCCGGAAATACAGTATTCAAGATGGCAACTGGTGTGGTCAGTCCCCGATGCAAATTATTTGGCCTACTGCAGAGGTGGCTGATGGTGACACTGTTTGTTAGTACAGTGGACACGACATCAACAAGGCTGGAGCATCCCTCGTTCAGCATATTAAAAATGCGCTTCCATGGAGCTCGAAGAACTCCAAACTCGGTGGTACAGGATATCCAAAACCGCAAACAGGCTTCAAGAAGAATGCGTCTGACAATCCTTCGCCAGAGCATCCGGATAAGGTGGCCTACCACTTCCCGACCCATCCTTCTAGCCTGTTCGGAAAACTGCACCACCCTAAGAGTCCTGGTCCAGATCGGCTGATTGGCCATCGCAACACGAAAGACGGAAAACTGCATCTTGCCGTAGCATACCATGACAAGTCCAAACCTATTCCTTCAGCTCTGTCTGGGCACAAGCCAGCCAGGGATCACCCTATGAGTATGGCACATCCAGCTCCAGGTGGTTCATGGGCCGTTAAAGGGGCCAAAATAATTCAGGGCATGAAGAAGATATTGAGATTCGGTAGACACTAATGAGTGGATGCAAGTAGTACGTTGTCGATAAATATAATAGCACATCAGACGTCGGGTAAAGGAAGAACTGTGATTACGCAGCTAAAGGCACCATGAACTACAGACATCCGTCCGAACTTTCCTGTCGAGCTTCAACGTCACCGTTAGGCGCCCATATCCGAAAAAGGCAATAGCTGCGGAATGTCCATCACCCTATGGGCGTAGCTAGTGACTTTCAACTTTCGTACTCCTGTCAGGCCCAAAATTTCTCCATCATCAGGCAGAAATCGGTGCCTCCATCCTTTCTCTCATAACCTAGGTCATCCATATAACAGCAGTCTATAGACGCGAGTAATATTGTGCTGGCGGCAGAGATGCCAATATGCGTCTTTGAGCGAAGAGTTCTTCCTGCTGAGCACGGCCGCGTGTCTCTGCCTCTTTGAAGGCTTCTTATGTAGGTGTATGACCCATGAATCTTGCGTCTAATTGAACGGTCGTCGACCATTTGATGGTAAGATCAGACACGTGTAGCGACTCGGACACTGCTCGTGAAAGGTGGTCTGATGCAAATTCGAGCAAGAGACTAACCCTTCTCATTTCCTGTCAGCCAAGTGCCTTCGTTCCACTATCTGGGGTCAGCAGAATTCAACAACATGCAGAGAACAGAAAACAATGCCTAACCTTCTTCCTAGTTATGTAAATAACTGCGCCACCACTGTCTGCGTGCGGTGTCATTGATGAGGGCCAGACCTTCATTGCTCAGGAACAAGTTAACAAACTCTGGACAGGTTTTCTCAGCCAGCCATATGGATATGTATATTTTAAAATGAATGAATTTTCACGACGAGAGTTGAAGGAAAAGAGGATAAAGATAAGCGTCATAACGCAAAATCGAGAAGATTCAGGGCCCTCAGTCACTCCACGCGCTTCACTTTCATCGGTACTTTAGCGCCTTTCTGCCCAGCGACCTTGGGCCGCGGTAGAATGGAGGGATGCTTTTCGATCTTGGTGTCCGGTCCGTCCGGAAGATCGAAGATGTAATTCTGAATCAGCACTGACAAGACCGCCTGCAAACAATCGATCAGCTGCACCACGAAAACGGTAGCAGGCGTACGCACCTTGAATTCAGTCAGCGCAAAACTCTTCCCAAGACAAGTCCTCGGTCCATCCGAGAACGTCAGGATATGCCGGTATCCCTGGATCTCCTTCGCCCTGCTACACCGGTCCATCTCAAGCCACCGCTCAGGCTCAAATTCCTTCCCGTTAGGGCCCCAGAACACCTCTGCGCGGTTCATGTACGTGATTGGCGAGGTGATGACGGTGCCTTTGGATATGACGAGGTTGGAGACGATGTCACCGTTTGTGGTCATGATAGGCGAGCTGAAGGGGATGACGTCGTCTTCTGCGGCCTGAGAAGTATTAGAGACTTCAGACGATGGTTGCATGGAGATACGGCAAACGTACCACACGCGTCGTGTCTCTCACAGGTGGATGCAGTCGCAGAACTTCCTGAGCAACAGCGTCCAGATAGGGCAGTGAAGTAGACAACTGGTCGAAAGTGGGATCGCCCCCAACGAACTGAGAAAGCTCGTCCCGAAGTTTTTGCTGTTTCTCTGGTTTGCGCGCTAGTTCAATCAATGCCCACTGCCAACACCATTAACACAAGCTCGTTTGAAGACAGTCGTTGGTTGTAACTTACTGTAAGGCTGACTGAGGAAGCAGACTTGATGAGCAGATTATCCAGGAGTACGCACGACTCTCGAGCTTACTGGAAGTTGTTTCATATCCTGACACATATTTGAGGAATAAAATCAAATGAAGACGGAGATGGCTTACCTGCTAGCAATAGCACGTTCTGGTCACAATGAGTGGGCAGACGCATGGAATTTTGGGTGGAGAACGTACCATCTACGAGCACAATGCTTCAGTGACCGACGACCACGGGAAAATATAAAATTTCATACTTGGGCCAAAATCTCCTCTTGTGACATTCCCAATGACGAACTTGTAGTCTCAGCCTTGACTATCAAACTGTGAGCTTGGAGTACGAGTGAGAGAGATTACTATGATTCACTGAGAAGACCAATGATCGATTTCTCCTCTGACAATTGTTTCTCTTCCCTCTCTCTCCTATTCCTCGCAAGCAGATCATCCGCAATCTCGCCCATAGTATCCCTTAGTCTCTTGAAAATCCTGTTTTGCTTCGTTGGGAGGTTTTGTAGTGTTGGGAATACCGGGCCCATCAAGAACACAAAGCGTGAGAGGAAGCCGGTGTCGCCACTCCCAAAGGATTCGAACACTTTCACGACGGCGGAGTCTTTCCCATCGAGAGCATGGAAGTCGTGCCCAAAACCTGCGATTCCTATAGAGTCGAGGCTACAGGGGATGAGATGTCGGTGTCAGTGCCTTGAGCTAAGCGCTTACGAAATGTGGTTCATCCTATCAGATGTGAGCAGGAGGATCTCAGCGTGGATAGCATGACGTACCAGATCTGAACGTCGATGGAGGCTTCGCCAGATCCTGCGTCGAGCATGGAGTCCCAGATGGCTTTCATCTAGTCCTCGCGTAAGTTAAATGAGGCCACAAGGCAAATCTCGGTCCGACCTTGTGCGCGGCGTCGTAGAAGACTGGCATCAGTTTTCGAATCGCCGCATTGCTGAAGGCAGGAGACAAAGCCTTCCGTTGTCGACGATGGCTATCTCCTTCAGCCCAAAGTAACCCACGACCGAACTGCTGGTAAATGAACATGTGGTGTCACGGAAGGGTGTAAAACGAAACGCACCAAGTTCTCGATGAACACCCTGGCTAGCTTGGTCTGAATGTATCCGAACGTCTCCTTGGAGTAAAAATGCGCATTGGCCCTTGGGTCACAGATGACAATCCGGCTTGACCCAAATCCACCAGGAACACGGAACGCAGGCCCGTACTGCAACGCCCACTCCTCGTACACGGCTCCAGGGTCCTCTGCCTCGTTGGTGTGTCGGTATACGCCAAAGATGAAGCTTTGGCTGGCAGGTCCGTTTAGTCGCGTTGTCTTGTCGGACCGGATGCTCTGGACCTTCCTCCACGCTGCGAAGAGAACCCAGGCAAGGACGAAAGGCAGGCCTACATTCGTGAACAAGAGGGGTGCGATGGCTCCAAAGGACCGCATCGCGGAAATGGTTGAGTCCATAGGTGAAAATAAGGGAAGAGGAAGAGGGAAGAAGGGGATCTATTCCTGGTTATCAGCGCCGCGGTTATGTAGTATCTATGCGACTACCGCTTTCCCGTCAGCATTGCTTTCTCAGCCGAGGAGCATAAGGCCCCGCAAACTGAAGTATCCGGATCGAATTCAAGAATCAAGGGACATGATGCTAGCTTCTGTTGTCATCGGTCTTCATTCCTCTCGGACGGTGTATTGGTTGTAGGCGCGGAGGACGTGATTAGTTCAGTGGTTTCTCTGACAGAGCCGGATGGGACTTGGTCCATAATGGAATTAGTCGTTCAAGCAGACGTCAAAAATGTCAACGCCCGATTTTGCAGTCTCTCTTCTTGTAGAGAAGCCCAAGTTCCATGTGACTGATTCGTCCTCAAACAGGAGTCCTGCAGGAGGCGTGAAGAGATTGAAAAATGATTAAGAGAGCTTTTACATGCGATGAAACCGCGTACAAGAAAAGCCTCCTCACGGCTATGGGTCAATGTATTCTTCTGATAACGTTTTTAGAACCTTGAGTCCACCTTAAGCGGGCGTCTGTGTCGTCAAATCGAGTTCCCAATGCGACAACCTGGGATCCAAGGCTATTACCAGTTGGATCATCGGAAAGGTGAGCAGATGTTTCTATTTGCAGCACTCTGAGGGAAGCTGGGTTGAAGACAGACAAACATGAACTTGAAGGGCAGACGACCGAAAGTGGCTCGGAACTCACCGATCGGAGCTTCAAATTCTGTAGGTGTATTACGTCACCGTCTGCTTTCGTCCCAGTCCCAGTCATTTGGAGGCTCCCCCATATCCGCACTCTCGTGCTGCGCCAAACCTTGGTCCATTGGGTCGGAAAACGAGAAATCAGGACGAGATTGAACTTGTATTTCTCCAGAAACCACAAGATGCCTCCCCGCCTCAATAAACGGCAGCAGCGAGAACTTGAGGAACTCGAAGCACTTGCATCCACGAAGCCACCGGTGCCAGTTGACGCGTCTAGTGAGGAGGAAGATGCACCAGGTCCCAGTTATAGTCGAGGGGGTGGTGGTTTTTCAAGTGTGGGTGTTGATCTCATCCCATTACCGATTCTCATGGAATGAAGTTTAGTTGCTTCCAGACGATGTCAACGGGTCGGAAGAGGAAGAGGAGGTGAAGGCGACGAAGTCCAAGAAGGTGAGCTCTCTATCTTACTATTTAACTGGTCTAATGTTTCTGTTAGTCAAAGAAAAAGAAGAAAAAGACCACCGAACCGAATACAGCAAGCCCGCCACCAGCCATGAAGGAGGCGCCGAAATCCACGCGAACAAGTACACCATCTACTCCAGCGAAGAACGAAAAGAGAGCTCTGAAAAAAGCCAAAGCGAAGGAGCGCAAGGCTGCCAATGAGGAGTTGGATCAGGCTCTAGCAGAGCTATCGATTCAGTGCGTCCGCAACAGCGTTCGGTCTTAAACACATCTCATTCCCCTGCTAGATACCCTGCGTCCCAGAAAATCTCACACAGCGCAAGTGGAAAGCAGTCGCTGGCCGCTCTTTTATCCGTATCTCTACAGAATCTGGACGCAGAGGCCGAGATGCGCAGATTCTTCGGTTCGAAAGTCGTCCAAGCCACCAAAGCTGAATCTTCGTCAAGTCGGAAGAAGGCACCTGCCGTTCGGTCAAATCTGACTCGGCCACAAGCTACCTGGTGGGCAGCGAAAGGGCGAGAAGGTCTCTCACTGCGATCGCTAACGCCAGAGGAGGAAGTAGCCAAACTTACTCGCCAGTCATGGGAGCCTCTCCAAGAGAAGTGGTGGACGATCGAGTACAGCAAGAAGTACAAGAGCATGACGAAGGCATTTATGCAGACTGTCCTGTCCGGAGGTGAGTCGAGACACCTTTTCACAAACAGCCGTTGTCGAATCTGAGTCAGATCCACAGGGATTTTGGGATCTACTTGGTACTCTGCCATGGCATGCCGATACACTCCTCCAGATCTCGGAAGTATATAGACATCGAGAAGGTAGAATTGTTTGATATTTATCTGACTCTTTTCTGATGGCTTTCATCTTAGAACATGCTCAGGCTGTCGATTTCATCGATAGAGCCATGTTTACCTACGAGCGAGCTCTCATTGGTGCTTTCACTTTCACAAGCGGTCTCAATCGACTTGACTTTGACCGTGTCGAGAACCGGCCATTCTTCCTCGCCGTCCATCGTCAGGTCTCGTGCGTTTCTATTATTGCTCTTGTCTGAAAATATCTCATGTTTAAGTAGAGATCTCCAACGCAGAGGATGCGTGCGAACAGCATTCGAATTTGCCAGACTCATGTACTCACTGGACCCATGGAACGATCCCCATGGCGCATTGTTCCATCTGGACTTCGTGGCGATCAAGTCGGGGATGCACCAATGGCTCCTTGATGCGTACGATATATCTGAAGAGCGTCGCAAGGATCTCTCTGGGAAGCAGGATGCTAGGGTGAATCCTGTCCTTCTACCTGGTTGGGCATTTGCTCGTGCGTTGTCTTTAAAGGTAGCAGAGGACGCGACGAAGGAAAAGGTCCGTACCCCTCCATCTTTCCTACATGCAATTGCTTATGATGGTCACAGGACCACACGAAGAGCACAGCAGCACTTAAACAAGCCGCTCATGATTTTCCCTCGATTGTCCCCCTGCTGGCCGACAAACTTGATTCCACGTTACCTGCGAATCTCCGTGCCCATCGCGACTTCAGGATAGAGACAGAAGCACTGTACGTTTCTTGTCTCTGATTCAGTTCTGCGGTCATCATATCCCTACTGCCATAGATCTATGTCACCTCCTGCAGGGGTCTTACACCTATTGTCGCACCTCTACGTACAGCGTTCGGCGTCCGTCTGGAAGGACCATGCCGCATGGTTTACCACGACGATAACGGAGGCGTTCTCGACCCTCCCGTCGTCCTTACCTACCACCGAGCGTCGGAATGCATTTCTCACGCAGTACCAAAACCTTAATCTGCGATACTCGGTGTATCGGCATGTCATGGTTCTGGAAACGTCTTACCGCCGCCTGTTCTCGTTCATCCCGCGGCAAGTCCTACAGGCCAAATCACTCTCGTGTGATCCTCTTCCACCGCTAACGTCGATTAGTCAATATGACCAGGAGTTTTTCCAGGCCATAGATGATATTTATTCGCCCCGGATGAGGAGTAGGAGGCAGCGCGAGCTCGACGAGCGGCGGCTTGCACAGCTCCTGCCGGATGCGGCGTTCCGGCAGCAGCTCCAGGCATTCTTTGAAGGCAACCCACGGCTGCAAGAGCGCTTCCCCGGAGGCATCTTCCAGTTCGCGCAGCTAGTGGGCCAGCTTCCGCCGGACGTCCTCGAGGACATGATGCTCATTGAGGCTATGGATGGGCCGCCTGGAGAAGGGCCTCCAGGAGCGATGCCTGGTGGATTGGATAATATGCAAGAGGATGATGGCAACTTCGTGGAAGTCAATTTCAATCCGGGCGCGATTGAGAGAGTGCCGATACCTGTTCCCCCTCTTGCCCGAGTCCAAGATAGTGATGAGGAAGATCTCGAAGACGAAGATGAGGAGGAAGAGGAAGAAGAGGAAGACATTTCTGTAAGTGCTCCTGTCGGAAGATCATGACGCGTTGGAACTCAACCGATTTGCTTCAGCCTATGCCCCGCCTGTTGCGGAACATTCTTGGAAGACTCTGGGGAAGAAATGCGGCAGCTGAGGAGTCTTCATCCTCTGACGAAGAGCCTCCTCGAGATGACATGGGAGTCGATTAACCTCTCTCCACGTTCTTTGTTGTGATTATCAAATTCAAATTCGATTTCCGTCATCTCACAGGTCCTAGACGTTATCGAACATGGATTTTCTCATATTGAAGCCTGGTCGCTGCCGATTTCCCCATGTTGAAGGCGATTTGATACCGTGGTATACCTACAAATGACTCTGAAATCTTTCTGGACGAACGAGAAGCTGATGATCTTACGACAATAAGCCGGCGAATACGGCTGAAACACGCATTTCTTCCTCCATACAAGGCACTTGTTGCGAGTCGGGGATTACGGGGTGCTTGAAAAGGAAACTCCCGCTCGCTTTATGTTCACGCTGTCCGTGTCGGCAACACTAAAAATAGGGTTCGCGATCTATTCTTGTCGCGTATTCTCGCGAGGAGTCAAGCTTCGGATTTTTTATTGTGCATCCCTTGACTCCAGCTGATCTTTATCCTTTGATCATGGCCTCTCGAAAGGTATAAAAGCAAGACCCTCGCTCACTTATTTTCCAGTCTTCCTAGGACAATCCAACGGCGAGAAATCCCTCTTCCTCTTACTCAACGACCAACAACCATGTTCTCAGTCTCTTTACTCGTCGCTGGCCTTGCTTGTTCGATTCCCCTTTTCCGAAGGGAGACGAATGATTTGCTGACGCTTTCTCTTGTAGCCGCTGTCTTCGTTAACTCGCAGACGATTCCTGCTAACTGCACTCGTACCTACACGGTGCAGTCTGGCGACTTCTGCGACAAGATCTCGGCTACTCAGAACGTCTCTACGTGCGCTCTCACATTCTCCTCTGCATACCCGCTTGCTGACCGCCTCGTTGAAGTTATCAATTGGCGACGGTTAACAGTGGGATTATCAACACTGAATGCAGCAACCTCTTTGTCGGAGAGGTACGCGTAGTCAGATATTGCTCCAGCCCTGCTTGTGACTCATGAGGTTAATATAGGTTCTCTGCCTCGGGTTAGATGGTCAGGATTGTACCCAAGTCGCGGTCGTTACTGCGGGTTCGGACTGCAATACAATTGCCACCGCGGCTGGGATCTGCTTCGCGGATCTGCTTCAAAACAACCCCAACATCGACGCTCAATGTACTAATATCTACGGCGGCGAGGTCGGAATTCAACCATATTTCTTCTTGCGCGCGCAATGCTGATTTTATTTTCCCTCCAGGTACTTTGCGTCGCCCCTGTCACCAACTAGAACCTCGTGCGGAAGTCGCAATGAGGACAAGTAGAGGGTTGGGACTGTCGCGAGTTTGGACTTTGCACCTCAGGTGGCTCGTGGCATGACATAATGAATCAGTATCAATGTGACGAATATACCGCATTCATTTCGATTGGATATGCGCTTTCCTACCTTCGGCACGTCTTATCGAAATGTCCTTGTCAAGAGCGCGTAACTGGGTAAACGTCCAACTACTCGAGTATATTTCAGCCAGTGCATGTATGACGTGACTCTTACCCTCCTCTACGACATCCTACCTACCTGAACATGCTCTGGCCATAATCACTGAACCGAGATCTCGTCGAAAGCTTCGCGTGGTGAGGGTCACAGATTATCGGACTGGTAGTCCCTTTAGGCGTCCGGATTCCTCGTTCTTTCGTTTATTGACCTTGCACGCCTTCGAGTGTTCGCACTTAGCCTCTCCGTCCGACACTAAGATACTGCCGTTGCGGCACTTAATGTTCTACCCCGAAGCGCACTGGGGACTGTCTGTAATAGCTTCGCGTGAGTCCTGTACATTTCATGACTGTTTCTCTCTTCCCTCTTGGGAGTTGTCCGTGCATCCTCCACATGTCGCCAAGGACTGATATCGATGCCATTGTAGCGGAAGTTCAATTTTTCATTACAGCACGACCGTCTTGGGTCTTTTGAAATTTGAACCACATAGCCTTATCGTCCTATTTAGCACTGGACCTCCGGCGTCTTGATAAATACGCACAGTCAGAGACTCAAAAGACTTGAGCGTCTCCTCCACACTTGGGGCACTTGACCTCATTTTCCTGCAGGGCAACAAGTTAGACCAGGGGCTCTACATTTTATCCTTTCCTGGTATAGGACTTTGGACAGCGACCCCAAAATTTCAAATGGCGCTCCCATACATGGACGTGATTCTCCAAGCAGGGTGTATATATGAAGTCCTTCAGATAACGGCATAAGGTACTCCGCAGGACCTTTCCTTTGTCCAGGAATTCGCCGATGCAAACCTGGCGTGGAGGAGGCCTAGCGACACGTTTCTTGTACCACACTCTTTCTGTTCTTTCTACTGTTGCCATCTCCTCTGCCGTCAGTATTTTCTTGGTATCTTCATTTCATCGCGCGGTAATTGTATTCTCTGGGAAAGGCCGATAAATTCGCGCTCACACGCGTCTGCCTAACGAGCCCTATGTTGCTGAAGGTATCCGCACGATACCCAACGGTTTCGAAGTTGGTTAGCAACAGGGGGTGCCGCCGGCCCGCGACGGCGGCAGTAGTCGCAGCGCTGATGTCGCGTCGAAGCTATATAAGGCAACTATCACCCAAAATAGTGTTCACGCGCCGCTTGAATACCCGGGGTCGAACGTTCGTCGAAGGTGTCTTCGTAGACACAATATGCTCCTTAAGTTTATTTATTTATTACATGTATATGTCATTAAATCCAGGTGATCCTCAGCGACCTATGTGACCCACAGGCGATCCTCAGGAAGCGCCTGGCAGTCACTGGTACAGCGCAGGGTACCATTGCTCGTTCTAAGCCTGAATCTTGCATTGCTGCACAAGTAATAGCGTGATTAACAAAGATATGTGCTATTAATATGTTTCACGCCAACTGTTGACATATTCTGTCAAACCTTATTGCCTAGACTCTCTCGGGTCCCTATTTCAGCGCGCTTGACACCATTCTTCCTGCTCAAAATATAGAAAGTGCCCCTAGGCGCCTCCTAAGCGCCGGACAGCTCGTCTCGACAAAGTGCCTGGAGACAATCTCTTGCAGATCTTCTACGCGAAGATTGATGGCATTAGCCCAGCCCTTCTCTTTGGGGAAGAAGTCTATCTTCAATTTTTTTTCGAAGGTCTTCCTTCAGATACATTGATGGTACATGGAACAAAGGCTGTCTTGACTACATATAGTCGATACCCAGCAACCTAACTTCAAGTCTTTGAGGTGTTGAGGATAGATGGGAAATTTCGCGGCGATGGCCGGCGTGACGAAAGGCTGAGCGCGTCACTGTAACTTGGTCGGATAGTTTTACCCAGGTCAAGTCCCCTCGTGTCGTGCGGGACCTTCATTCGATGACTGATCCATTTTTTCCATTTCAGTGTTAGCGTCAAGCGATCGTGGTCCTTGGAGGGCTTCATGCAGGGTCGTATCTCCAAGCAGGCGAATTGCTACCAGGGCCCGCCTCATTTGAGACGAGATTCAAATGATGAGACCACCCACACGCACATACCCATTCGACCACCGGAATAACAGTATTTCCCTGTAGCCTGTAGGAGACGCCCTGAGATCTGGCGGAGCCTTGAGGCTTACAATCGATAATAAACAGACTTTAGATAAAGGGGATGGGTCTCCAATCTTTCGCCCGCGAGCAGGAATGTCGCACACCAGCATGAATCTTCCACCAGGTCCTTCCTATCTCCTCCGCCTTTTCCCGAGCTATGCAATCCCCTCCGTTATCGTCTACTTCTCGCTCCAAAATCTTGCGAACTGGGCTACTCTCAGCATTTCTTCATGGCTGCTAGTTTTCCTCTCATTCCTAGCCCGACCGCTGCTTTTCTTTGCTCAGGTCCAGTATGCCACCATCGTCAACAAGCGTGAGGCAGCAAAAATGGGAGCCGTACTAGCGCCAACTGTCAAGGCGTCAGGGCTACAAATCATCAAAATAATGGTCGAGACTCTTCGGGAGGGATATCCAGGTTCGAGGAGTCCAAGGCAACAGTTTCCCCTCCCGCGCTAATTTCGTCTATCTGTTAGGGGAAGACTTTCGCCACTGGGCGGAAGACTACGGGCATACCTATCAACTTAATTTGCTGAAAGATACCGCCGTAAGTCCCATCGCCGGCTCATTTCCCGCCTATCCCCAGTCTTACGATTTGCCCGACGTAGCTCTTCACTGACGATCCCGAAGCCGTCAAAGTACGCTTCCTTCATCTCCGCAGGGCAGAGGTGCCCAGTCGCCGGCTCGTGACTAATTTTCACTTACATGCAGGCCATCCTGGCAACCCAATTTGATGCATTTGAGAAAGGTGAGCAACAAATTCTTTTGCGTTGATAGACTTCCGTCTGGGCTTACTTCTCGAACCCAGGCCCGATATTTCAAGACCAGTTTCACTCCCTTCTAGGGGCAGGGGTATTCAATACTGATGGTAAGCAATCTAACTTAATCTTCATGGACATGAAAGCCTCATTTTTACTCTGGCCAGGCGAAATGTGGAAGTGCGTAGAAGTTTTAAGGTTTACTCGCCAGCTGCAGGCTAAGTTGACAACAATTGGTCTAGATTTCATCGCAGCCTCACGCGTCCGTTCTTCAGTCGAGAACGGATAAGCGACTTCGACATTTACGCTCGAAATTCCGATCTGTCGCTCAAGCAGGCAAGACGGCGTCTGCAAGAAGGGTATTCCATAAACTTTCAGGTCTGTTTTTTTGTCCTTCTCGGCTGTTCGGGCACGTTGAGAAATTCGTGACAAAATAGGACCTCGTTTCGCGCTTCACCCTCGACTCTGCGACGGAATTTCTTTTTGGGCACAACGTCTCGTCATTGTCAGCTGGTCTCCCATATCCACCGTCTTCGTCCCAATTAACTCCGGCGTCCTTCCACTCTCATCCGGCGACCATCTTCGCAACGGCATCTACCGAGAGTTCTCTTCTGGCGTCGCTCCGAACTGGACGCGGTCCCGAATGGTCCCTGTTTGAGTTCTGGCAAGATAGAATTCAGCCGTTAAGGGAAATCATAGACGACTTTACGGAGCCGGTTATCAAGGAAGCGATCGATCGAGCTCGTGTCCAGGAGAAGGGCGCTCATCGTGGTGAGGAGGGCACGCTGCTGGAGTACATGCTCCAACACACGCAAGGTTTTTTTGTTTCTTCTGCCACGAGCTTTTAACGTGTCTGATCCTTCCCCACCTAGATCCCCAGATCTTGAAGGACGAGGTGAGCTGCGGTCCACATGCGAAGAGCCAAGAGCCTAACGCCTTTTTCTTCTAGGTGGTCAATCTCCTCGTGGCCGGACGCGATACTGTGCGTTCCGTCGTCATAGATATCTGTTGTCTTATCTAACAGCTCCATAGACCATGGCCCTTCTCACGTTTTCGATGTACCTGATCATCCAACATCCTCACGTCGAACATCGCCTTCGGCAAGAAATATACGATGTCGTAGGTCCATCAGGGCGCCCTACATATGATCACATGCGCCAGATGCGGTTTGTTAGGGCGTTCCTCAACGGTAAGTCATTTTTTGACCCTGAGCTAACATAAACTGAGAATGCTTGGAATGGCAGAGGTTCTGAGGCTCTATCCTTCTATCCCCCTTAATGTCAGGTGTGTGCATCTGCCTCGTTTTCCTCTCCATATTTTCTCAACGGCTCCAACTTGTGCGCAGGAGAAGCGTGAGGCCGGTCGTTCTCCCCACCTCAGATCCTGAGAGAAAGCATATCTATGTCCCGAAAGATACGGTGTTAGTGGCTTTTCTTCGGCTCAGAATGATACGGTGCTAACGATATTTACTTATCCTAGGTGCACGTTTTCCGTCTTCAACATGCATCGCCGAACAGACCTATGGGGCCCTGACGCAGAAAAATTCGACCCTGACCGATTCCTTGACGAAAGGTTGCACAAGTATCTCACCCCAAACCCATTTATCTTCCTCCCCTTTAACGCTGGACCGCGGATTTGCATCGGGCAGCAGGTACGCTTCCTTCTTCCTCAGCCGCGGTCAGTCTGTCAAGCGGCTGAACGTGTTCTTATTACCAGTTTGCGTATCACGAGGCCTCTTTCTACCTCGTGCGCCTCCTCCAGCAATTTACCGGCTTTGAGATGGACCGGGAGATAAATCAAGCGCCTCCCGCGAAGTGGGCTTCGAAGGAAGACAGAAGGAAAGATGAACAGGTGCACCCTGTCACACATCTGACACTTTCTATTGTGGTATGTCCTTTCTCCGCATGTCGCTGATGCTTGTGCTGATTTCGATATCTTTCTCAGGGCGGTTTTTGGATGAGGATGAGGGAGCTGAACCCCGATTCGACGTGTTAATTCTTGATAACGTGTTGATGCAGGACCGCATTTTCCTTCTGTTTCTTTGCTTGATATGATCATCGTGTTGTAATATGCGCCTAATGTCCCGATAGTGAACTACATTCGTCTTATGCTTTCAGTTGGCTTTCCCCTTTGATTTGTACTTTGCTGAAATAATGATTTTTTAATATGCTAGCAGTGCACACACCATGCAGCGTTGATATTATCTCTGATACGTTCTCGTGATCAATTGCGAGCGCCGATCGAGTCTAGGTCCCACCCAAAAGAGGAAATAATAACCCAAGATAGAACCTCTCAAGAACCAGGCTTCTAGGGCTTCTTTCGCCTCTTACTTCGTGACCATCACCGCGACTTCAGCAACTCTGCTTACGCCGAAAGACGTGAAATATCCAGGAATTTTGAAAAGGGGTGTGGCCGTCTATCTGAGTCCTAAATCCAAGTAGTCCCCTGCTTCAAGTGAATTGGCCGTCTTGGAATGGACGCTGATCTCGGAGAGCATGAGCTATGTACTATTTATTATGTAAGAATGCTCATATATGCCCCCAATGATGAGCTCGTAATACTTGAAGTGCGTGAAAATCAACATTCTTTCAATGATTCCACTAGATACTGCCTCGTTCTTTCTGCGGTCCCCCGACTCCTGCTTTGGCCTCAATCTGTAAGTGAAGTACTAAGCAAGAGCTTTCTCCCCAGAAATTTGGGCATCTTCTCTCGATTTCCAGGCTACACCTATTCTTTGTTTGTCGTCCTGGCCGTTGAGGTCTTGAGATGGAGCATCACGCGCTTCGGAGGCCTGTATCTATAGAGGCGAGAGAGTTAAGTACCACTTCATCTCTCTGTGGCATTGATTAGAACTTTTTCTCTGGCCAATATTTTCTCTTGTGGACTCACGGCGCGCGTTCGATGAGATAGGCAGCGGCGCCAGAGTTAGGGGCTTTCTTCCATAATAGGGAGATCATATTTGGAAGCGGCGCTGCCTGACAACAGATGCGCCAAGCTTACGAGGAAAGGTTCTCTTCAACTACTCATACTTATATATAGGCTCCCTTCAATCCAACTTCTGCGTCCGACGAGACTACCGTTTCCCAATATCTGCGGGATGTCCTACTCCGACCCATAGCTGACATCCTCAATCAAGTCTATGCCAAGGACATACGGTAGCGTCGTTGGACATCGAGGGTCCGGGAAATTCTGATCAACGTAGGCCTTCGTTCAACTTCAAAGTATATTCTGACACTTTTTTGTAGCTCCTATTGCCGTAACCTTCCGTGCTTGTGACGCTCTGGGGATACCCCAACCTCTGAGAAACATCCCCGCCGTCGTATACACAGTAACATCATCGCCCATAATTCCCAATACGATTCTAACTCACCGCCCTACTAGCCTGATGCCATTCTCAATGCGGATGATCCTTCGCCTCAACTGGCTGCTGCTCTGAAGCAAGTCTACGACTCAGACCCATCATCCCCAGTTCTTGCCACCAATTTCGACAACATTGCCGTATTTTGGACTCCCAACAAGGAGAATGTTCGATATTACGAGTTAGTGGCGAGTGACGACACCCGGACATTACTTGCGCTCCGAACGATCACAGCCGCCCATCTACTGCATGCGCTGATCTATGAATTATATGCCCCTCTCCCTGACAGCGCTGAAAAGACTGGAGTACTGCCCGAGGGGCCACCGGTCGATGAAACCACTTGTCCCCGACGAGGTCGTCTTCGAAACTTGCAAACGCCATTCCGACTTCGATCTAGTCAGGCTCAAACGAGATAGAGAACGGGCTCTTCAGTTCTTTCGCTAGAAGGACCACGTGCGAGGCGCACAAGAAAAGCTCGTCGTGGGTCGGGGCGACATCGTACACGCAGCAAGCAACGGACTGGATGGATTTGCTCTGGAGTTGAAGCCTCACTACCCCTTGGATTTCTCAGAGATTCCACCGGATACCCTCGCACACCTGGGTGCTGTCTATCGGCCATGTCCTCTCTCTTCGCTCGGCCTGCGTGAAAGGATCCTTCATGGCAGCTCCTTCACCTTGGAAATTCTCGGCGTCGTAGCCGAGGGTAGCAAACGCGGCGTGTGCACTGTATACCAATGTCGAATAATCTCCGTCGACAACGATGAAGTCGTCGAATCTCCTGCCCTTTGTCTGAAAAATTTCGATGATCGGTTCCAGCTTCTTGACCCGCCTGAGGAAGAGGAGTTGGAGGAAGAGCCCTCTGGTTGGCTGGATCGGATCGCCCTTGCTGAATGGGATGCGCGGCAAGAACACTGCGCTTACAAAAAGCTAGAATGTCTCCATGGGACGGTCTTTCCTTGGTATTATGGTGCTCATCGAGTGAGAACTTTATTTCGATTGTTCAGAAGCTCTTCTGACAACGCCGATGTAGTTCACTCTACCTTGCGGCTTCCAAGTGTACGGAATTCTCTTAGAATACAGCCCTGGATGGCCGCTCGACTCCGAGAATGTTCGAACGCTGTCTCCTGAAAGTCAAATTCAGCTTGTAAGGTCCTGCACCTCTTTCACCTGAACATTGAAGGCTCAATCACAAATTCGCGATTTACCTAGATTCAGAGGTGTCGGCACGCTGCAAGAGTTTTAGATATTGCCGATATCGCTCAAAAGGACTGGCACACCGGACAGGTACTTGTCCACACAGCGTTGAACGGCAGTCTCACGCATGGAGTGATGATTGACCTGGCGTCCAGCACGCAAACGATCGAACCTGAGCTCTACAACGGCTGCTCAAACTTCCATGGTGCCTTGTGTGGTCTAATGGCGGGGCTGAGCATGGCAGGCGCTGACAAACGTTTTGTCGTTGATCACTTTGGGACGCCCGACGTTTGGCAATATGGTTCTTCGATCATTCCCCTTCCTCCGTCGAAAGACAGTGCACTGTTGTCTCCGCCGAATCCATTTGACTTCATACAGTTAGTCAGAAAGGAATAGCGCTTTCCAATGTATCCGGCATTGTTCCGTTGAAGAGCCTGTTTTACTGTTGCCACCATACTATTCTAATAGTGCGTGTATTTAAATGCCACCCCCGGATTACATCTTGTCGACTTGAACTAATGCTGGCTTCCCTCACCTGTCCTGAATTTTGTTGAATTTTGCAGCCTGGTTCATGAATCATAGTGCCACTGTAACAGTGGGCACGGCATCCTCGGCGGTCCATCAGCCGCTTCGGGGCCAGTAAGCTAAGCACTAAGCGCCTAGTGGACTTCGAATTACAGTTCAGATCTACGTTGCATTTTTTGCTTAAGCCTCGTACGTGCGCTCAGTGGAAAGGACACCGACGTGTTTCCGGAGCTTTGCAGCGGTGGGGTTGTGACCTCAAAACGCCCAATGTTCCAAATGGGAAACTTCTCTCTTGATTCTCGTGTTTGAGACAATCTAGACTCGCGACCAGTCATGTTCGCAAGATCACATGCGCTGACATAAGACGACCTAACGAAATAGGAAGGAAGCGATGTGAGCTTGCGAACAGACTGGAATAACTGGTCACGATTTTGGCTGGAAGCGTGACGGCCCGCCAAACATGAGTTTGGTTTTTTCGCGTTCACGCGTTCACACACATCGTCAAACGTGTGATCCCGCTCTGTCCCTCCACAAATAGCATTCTGTAGACTAGATATCTACTTCATCCAATGCTCCTGCACCTCTCCCTCTTCTAGAACCTCCAGCAGATGGCAAACCCTGCACCTGAGGAGCCCAAAGTGATCCAGACATCGGCAACATGGACGGTTGACTCGCGAAGGGAACTGACATCTGAGGGCTCTGGGAATAGCCTTCGATTACGAAAAGTGGCTGCGCTCCTGTCAGATAATTTGCGGTCTGGGTGGCTTTCACCGTCTTCTTCTGCTTCTTTGTTACCACGGCTCCTTGCTCTTGCCCGTTGACAACTGGCCTCTTCAGTGCTGCTTTGGGTGCTGTGGGCAGCGGAATTAGAGGTGGTATGTCGAGCTTGAGCAGTTCCTGCAAGAGCTCATCTCCGTAGGTCTCTTCCCAACCCCACTGGCCCGAGACAGCTGCTGAGAGCTGTTCCGGGCATTGGATTGGCCCCACATTTGCCAGCAAATCAACAACTTCATCGGAAACCAGCCCATCCGATGTGAACAACACATCTTTGAAGTCACGGGCCTTGATCTTAGAGCGCCATGCAACGACCGCGTCGATGACAAGTTGACAAGGCTCGCCTCTCTTGACAACCTTTGCCCTCGTGTTCTTTGGCCTTTTCCCCGGGCGCGTGCGATTCAGGAGTTCGGGGCAGCAGATATCACAACATGGAACGGACGGGACTGTTTTCGGTGTGTCAGTAATAATTTTATGGTGCTTTCGTCTTTGATAACTTACCTGCGACTAGTACATGACCATAGATCACGCCCAGGACCCTTCTTTGACAGGTGCCCGACTGCACCAAGCTCACCAACCCCTCGTCGGCCGCATCTTCACTTATCGGAGGACAATCACGCACCAGGATCGTATTGTGCCGACCTCCCAACGACCCGCGTTGGACACCTCGCACCTTTGCATGATTCTTTTTTAGTTTCTTCAGCTCTGCCGCCCTTGCCTTTTCAGCGGGTGTAGATGCCGCCTTCTTCGTCTTCGTTTTATCAGTGCCACTTGGTGTCGCGTCCAGTTTGTTTCCCTTTTCATCCAGCATGATGCTGTATGTTGACGGCTCCACGAGCAGGACAGCAAGGCCAAGATGATCATGCGAACGAGCAGCTCGGCCTGCCCATTGGACAAAGGCTGACACAGAGGTTGGGAGTTTCCACTGGACAACAAGGTCGACGTCTGGGATGTTACATCCCTGGACAATTGTGAGTCACGTCAAACAACATGTAAGATGGCCGGAGACTCACCATTCCTGCAGCATCTGTGCAAACAAGGATGCGCACAGAACCCTCCTTGAATGCCCTCATCACCGCCCGTCGATACTTTTTGGAGAAGCATGCGTTGTATGGTCGAATTATTCCAACGTCTTGGAGATGCTCAGGTAAGAGATCTGTAAGATGATCGATGATCTCGGTGCCCATTGCAATGCTATCGCAGTAGATAAATGATTTGAGGATATCGTCCGGCCATTCTGCAAGCTTGTTAATGACGAAATCGAGGTCGGCATACGTGTTTAGTGGGTGTTGGATGCCACGGATCACAATGGAAACATTAGGTCAGTCATTCCCTATGTCAATGTCCAGGAAATTCTTCTGATCAAACCGTAGTACCCAAAGGACTTCTCTCTGAACACAGGCAGGAAGAGTGGCAGAAAGTGCAACGATTGGAGTCGATTTTAGTAGAAAAGATCGAATAATTCCAAGCTCGCTGTACTTCTTTCGAAAGCCTGACCCCCAGTGCGAGATGACGTGGGCCTCATCGATTATCACAGAGAGCACCCTTTTCTTGAATTCGGTGTTCTTGAGCACCTCCTTAATGAAGCGCCGTGAAAGCAGGAGCTCCGGAGAAATCAAGATGATTTGTGTGTCGCCTTTGACGATGCTCTGGACATCGTGAGTTGCCTGAAATTGCTCCAC